TGACGTAATGTTGTGATGTCTACACCAGCACTGCCATTGTACTCCGATAACTGTTGATGGTGGTATCCGATGTGGCGGTTGAGGACGTCTCATGGGGTAACAGAGCAAGTTGAAGCTCCTACTTGTCACACGAACTGGTATGACTCCCGGCCACAGCATTGAACGCTTCGCTGGAGAAACCAACCCAACCCACTGCCGACCTCCTCTCGTCTCACTACTGGGCGCACGCAAGCATATGACCCAGAAGGCCTCGCCTCACACTCACCGCATCTCTCGCCTCGTAACTTGGTCCACTAGCAAGCGCACTTCTGAACTGAAGCCAATCACACACCAATTCCATCGCTTGACCTTTCCCATCTTGGTCAGCTGAATTTGATGGCGTTCGCTAAATTCAGGGCTCGTGAGTCCGCTGCTTGTGGGTGGATGACACACCCGCGTTCTTGCTGGTTTCGGACTGGTCGTGGTCACTCTTTCCGATGGTAGCCGTGTCGCCGTCAGATGTCCTCTCCTCCACGGTGCTCGTGTGACTCTTCACAAATGTCTTTTTTGCCTCTGAAATGCGCTTGAGTCGGTAAAGTACCATTGTCAGGAAAAATCATTTTCCTTACTTCGCATCCCTGCTCAACGCGTACATCACTGTAGCACCACAGTCAGCACCGTTACCACTCGCAACCCTCGCATCGACAATCCGCCCGCCACCTTCGCACATCGCACCCCGACTTCACGGCTTGGCGGGTAACCCGCGCTCCGGGCCTCCGCTTCGACACTTTTCCCAACCTCAGTCCCAGGCCCGTCGCGCGACAACCACAGTCCATTACCGTTACCACTGCAGTTTCGCTATAGATTCTTCGCTCATGCCTTCGCTCATTGTACTCTTGCTCCGATAATGCAATTCTTGTTCGTTCACTCAATTGCACTCGTAACACTTGGTATTCAGAGCCTACGATCTCCTCTCGGACCGCACCCACACATTCGCTTCCCCACTATCTCATTTTTTTGGGGGGGGGGTAGACGTCCCTCAGCGACACAGCACCGCCGCTCGTAGTGCTCTCTCGTAAGCACGCACGGCCACGACCGAGGCTCTCGCTTAGCTCACCCGACACCCCCGCCATGGCTGAATTCACGCTCGCCACATTGACGCAAGAGCAGCTCGACCGTCTGGTGCGCCAACTTGAAGATTCGGCGCTCGAAATTGCGACGCTCACAGCGGAACGTGACTCAGCGCGTCAGCAATCAACGATGAACACCCCAACGCCACCACACGCACCGACAAATGCATCTGCACAATGAGACGAGCCAATCGTAATCTCGTCCGGCACACCAACACAAAACAACAGCGTAGGACAGCGCTCAGGCGCAGCCAGCGATGGTGCCGCCCAGCCGATGCCTGGCATGGGAAGAAAGGGTCGCACCAAGCCTGCGGGAGCCTCGCGAAGCCCGTCGACACGTGGAGTTCGCGGCGACAAGTGGCGAACAGACCATTATGGCACCAATGCCACTCAAGCCGCAACGCCCGCCGTGCTTCGACCCGAGCCAGCGAGGAGGTCCGACGGTTCAATCGTGGGTCTTCACGATGAACGTCTTCTTCGACGCGAATTACGTCGAGTCGGACGCAGCGAAGATTCGGTATGCCGTTTCACTGCTTAGGGGCCCCGCCATGGGCAGGTGGCGAGTCATCGTGACGTCGCCACGCGCCTACGAGCCACCGTCGCAAGAGGAAGGGCCCACGGGCCCAGCTGTCACCTGGAGTTCATTCTGCGAGACCGCCCAATACAGCACGTGGGATGCGTGGTGCGCAGGGCTTCGGGCGCGCTTCGAGCCGATCGCGGCTTCTATTTCGGCGCGTCAGAGATTGCGCACTTGGCGGCAACTTGGATCGGTTCAAGACTATATGAGTGGTTTTCTCGCATTATGCGAGCAAGTCGGCTACATTCACGAAGCGGAGCGGGTGGACCGTTACGTCGGAGGGCTGAAGCCGGACATCTCGCACGAAATCATGCTACGCGGGCTCTCGAACTTCAACGAGATTCTCGCGCTCGCCGAGAAAATCGACATTCTACGCTGTCCGAAACCGGGGTCCTACTATGGACATCGTCCTCGGGGACCGATCGAGCACTCCACTGTACACGCTGTTGCGACGAATGCAGCTGCCGCGCCGTTTAAGGGGCGCTGCTTTGCTTGCAACAGGCCGGGCCATCGCAAGAGCGAATGCCCAGAGGAGCTAAGGCGCCGCGGAGCAGAGCAGGGGAGGGAGTCTCCAAAGCAGGGAAACGCCAGCAGTCAGTAGGAATCGGGCCAACTACTAACGAGACTGCCTGCTCGCCCAACCCCACCGACCCTCACCGAGTCACAGTACCGATTCATGCTATCGATCGGACTCGGACGAATAAGGAGGGTACAGCGACGGATTGCCCAGTACTGATCCACGGGAAAATACAGGGAGCAACAGTGAAGATTTTTATCGACGGAGGAGCAAGCCACAGTTTAGTTAATACTGCAGCTGACACTTAGCCGTTGCTTACCGGAGATAGACGCACGCTTAGTCGACGGCACGCCACTGGCCATACGGGAAAAGGTAGAGAGAGTCAAAATCCGCTGCGGGGGAAATTTCGGGTTTACACAGGAAATGCTCGCAACGACACTAGATGGGCACGATATTTTACTGGGACGTGATTGGCTGCGATGGTATAGCCCGCGAATTGACCGGACGACGGGTAGCTACACCGTGCGAAGTAGTGGTAACTGGGTCGAGCTACCTCGCTGGCAGTCGCCCGAGTCTTCAACGGTACACGTCAACGCCATCATAATGAAACGGGCTGTCGCTGCTGGAGCCAACGTGTACGCAGTAGACATCGCAGTAGTAGAGGAAGCAGAGCAGCCGAATGATTTCAAGAAAATGCTGGCAGCCGTACCGCCCGAATTACAGGAATTGTTGAAACGATACCCCGGGATTTTCCCCGACGACTTACCGGAAGGACTGCCACCTCAGCGAGCATATGACCACCGAATCGAATTAGAACCGAGGGCACAGCCAACCGTACAGCGCCAGTTCAGACCTCCACAGCCCGAGTTTGACGAACTAAGGAAGCAGTTAGATTACCTGCTAGAAAAAAAATTCATCAGACCGGGCTCGTCACCGTTCGCCGCACCAATAGTATTCACGCCGAAAAAAGACGGGGATTTTCGCATGTGTATCGACTACAGAGCACTGAACAAGGTAACAGTCAAGTCGCGGTACCCCATTCCCCGCGCCGACGAACTGATCGACCAACTGCGAACAGCACGGGTTTTTTTCGAAAATAGATTTACGGGGAGGTTACCATCAGATTAGGGTCGAACCATCGGACTGCGCTAAAACAGCTTTCAGGACTAGGTACGGGTCGTTCGAGCACACGGTGATGCCATTCGGGCTGACCAACGCACCGGCGATTTTTCAGATGACCATGAACGAGGCATTTAGGCCGCTCTTAGATAAATGTGTAATAGTTTACGTCGACGACATCCTAGTGTACAGTCGGGATAAGCAGCAGCACTTAGCAGATCTGGAAGCAGTATTTAAGGTTTTAGACGAGCACTGATTACTGACCAAGGGTTCGAAGTGCGAGTTCTTCCAGGATAGGTTAGAATTTTTGGGGCACGTTATTTCGAAGGCTGGAGTTGAAATCGACCCAAAGAAGCTGGATACGGTAAAAGCGTGGCATCCCCGGACGAACATCACGGAGCTGCAAAGCTTTTTAGGGTTCGTTAATTATGTGCATCGGTTCGTCCCCGATATGGCACGGTTAACTGCCCCACTGACGGATTTACTACGGAAGGGGGTCGCTTTTATGTGGGGGGAGAAAGAGCATGCTGCCTTCTCTGCCCTGAAAAATGTTCTCTGTTCACCGCCCGTCCTGCGCATCGCCGACCCACACCGCCCATTCGAAGTAGTTACCGACGCAAGCGATATCGCAATTGGAGCCGTACTGCTACAGGATTTCGGCAATGGCCTACAGCCTATCGCATACGAGTCACGAAAACTGCACCCGCCCGAGAGAAATTACCCGATACACAACCGCGAAATGCTTGCGATCGTGCACGCATTCAAAGTATGGCGTTGTTACTTGACTGGCGCGGACGTGACAGTATGGACAGACCATAAATCACTACAGTACCTTAGCGCACCGCCACACCTCAACCCACGACAGATTCGCTGGCTCGATTTCCTCGAGTCCAACTTTCACTATACAGTCACTTACAAAAAGAAAGCCTCGAACATCGCCGACGCACTGACCCGCCCCACTGCCCAGATCCACGCAATACTACTCGCCAAGACAAGCCCGCTACTGACAGGCCTATTCACCCACGGGTACCAAACGGATCCATTCTTCACAGGAGGAAATTCGCAGCAGTTCGCAACAGCAAAGGGAGTCTATTACGTAAAAACCGGGACTGACCGCATTTGGGTGCCTGGGTATACACTGCTACGGGAATTACTGTTCTAGGAGGCACACCACGGAGTTACCTCGGGGCATTTCGGAGTAGAAAAAACACGGCAGCAGCTGCAGCGGTATTATTACTGGCCCGAAATGTTGACCGACGTACAACGACACGTGGCATCGTGTCCCACTTGTCAGCTCATGAAATCATCACGACAGCGGCCTGCGGGACAGTTGCAGCCGATACCACCCCCAGAGCGTGCTTGGCAGCGGGTGACGATGGACTTCGTCACGGGGTTATCGGCCGGAGCGAGTGGGAACGACGCGATTCTGGTTATCGCCGATCGACTGACGAAAATGGCACATTTCGCAGCCTGCAAAAAATCAATCATAGCCGAAGAAACAACACGCCTTTTCATCTCCACTTTTGTTGGCATAAAATTTTCCATGCCAGCGCTTTCATTCGAGGGTTCCTCTTCATATTACACAGGCATATCACCAAATCAATGAATTACCCATCCTTAGTGGTTATAAATTCCACTTCATATCACAGCATCATATCGGGTCTCTGTATTCTGGCATTTAGACGTTCTTAACGAAGTCCACACCAGCCTGGATGGACTCCTGGAGCTCAGGCAGGGCGCGATGAATGGCCTTCTCCTCATAGGGGATAAGGTCGCCCAGGGGAAGGATCTCCTCCGCGCCACTGGGGCCCAGACGCACCTGTGGGGGGGGGGCACACAGGGAAGAAGGGTAAAGAGAGACACCGAGGACAGCGAGTCAGAATTTCACACGTTGGTGCGCTCGGGCAGGGCGCGCTGAATGGCCTTCTCCTCGTAGGGGATAAAGGTTACCCAGGGGAAGAATCTCCTCCGCCCCACTGGGGCCCAGACGCACCTGGGGGGGGGGCACACGGGAAGAGAGCCAGGAAATACATTGGGCAGAGAGGAAAAAGGGTAGATTTAAAGACTCGGGAAGCTTAAGTCAAGAGCATGACTGCACGCAGGCAGAGGGTAGAAGACAGCACGCGGTTCTTACCTTGCAGGCAAAGAAGCGCGCCTCTGTGAGCTTGGACTCGACGTATGTGCACTCAACAACGCTGGGGACGAGGCGGGACACTAGGGTCTAGTCAATCAAGAGGGTGCATGAAATTAGAGGGTGGCCAACAGGGTGGGGGATGGGATCGTACCTTGGAGGCAAAGAAGCGCGCCTCTGTGAGCTTCGACTCGACATATGTGCACTCCACAACGTTGGGGGCACCGTTCATGGCCTTGAGCAACGAGTCAGCAAACACAGCCGCGGCATAGCTGAAGGTTGTGGGGAGGACGGAAGAGAGTAAGGTGAAATTTGAGCATGCGATGGGCCAGGTTGGAAGCAAAGACAATGCAGGTGCACTCAACGACGTTGGGGGCACCGTTCATGGCCTTGAGCAACGAGTCAGCAAACACTGCCGCTGCGTAGCTGTCGGAGGTGGGGGGGAGGAGGAGGAGAGAGAGTGGTGGGGAAGGGAGTGGTGGGCAAAAGGGTGGAGGGGTGAGCAGGGGAACGGTGCTTAAGGGAGGGAGGTTTTGCTATGTACACAAAAACAAGGCACATTCGATGGTGACATGCGAGCAGCTATGACAAGTGATTCACAACGCGGCAAGCAAAGTAGAGGCTAGCGAAGGCACTCACGCCATGGAGAGCGTGGCGGAGCCCTTGCCCGCCTTGGCCTGCACCACCTCACGTTCCTCACACCACCTCACACCACCTCACGAGAGCAAGAGGGCGGCACTCACGCCATGGAGAGCGTGGCGGAGCCCTTGCCCGCCTTGGCCTGCACCACCTCGGTACCGCCATCCTGCGTGCGCTTGGTGAGCTGATCCCTCTCCTCATCCGACAGCTCCACGAAGGGCGTCGCCTGGGAGAAGAGCGGAATGATGGTGGCGCCCGCGTGGCCGCCCACCACCGGTACCCTCACGTCTGATCCACACACACACGGACATACACACAAACGTACATACAAAGCCAAAGAGAACAGGAGACGGAAGACGGCATGTGAGTGAGTGAGTGGGTGCGTCAGTGGCGATGGTGGCGCCCGTGTGGCCACCCACCACCGGTATCCTCACGTCTGATCCACACACACACACACACAGCGCGTGAGTGGGCGAGGGGGTCAGTGGGTGAGTGAGTGGGGGTGAGAGGCACCGAGCACGTGAGGGAGTGGGTTGAGAGGTAGAGTGAGCAGCAGCCGAGAACAAATCCCAGCCCCATTGCCCCCTTATCTTCCCTTTTTTTTTCAACAGTATTCTCCAAAACCCGAGCAGTCACTCTCCCACCCCACCTTCCGCGTCCCGGCCCTTGACACATTCCCGCCATCCTTCCCCGTCCCGCCCACTTGACCTTTCCTCCGAACTTCCCCGTCCCGACCCTTGACCCATTCTCTCTCACCTTCCGCATCCCGCCCCTTGGCTCATTCTCCCCGCCTTTCGTCCCACCGTGACCCCCCACCCTCCTTCCGCGTTCCGCTCCTTGACTCATTCCCCTCACCTTCCGCGTTGAGCCCCTTGGCCTCGGCGTAGAAGGTGCGCGCGCGCACGATGTCGAGCGTGGTGATGCCGAAGAGCTTCTTGGGGTCGTACGTGCCCGCCTTGGCGAACACCTCCGCCGCGATGGGCACGGTAGAGTTCACAGGGTTACTGATCATGCCCACCGCCGCCTGGAACAGAGCAAGGGGAACAATGGCACGGATTACAGAGCAATTGAGTACATGTGGTAACTGTGATCGTGTGACGGGTGGCCGTGCCTGCCTTGGCGAACACCTCCGCCGCAATGGGCACGGTGGAGTTCACGGGGTTGATGATCATGCCCACCGCCGCCTGCAAGGGTAGGGGAGTATCGCAATGAGTTACAGCGCGTAATCTGACCGCGCGCTAACACGACTTGCTTCCCGCGGATTGATGTGCCATAAACCGCACCTAGATCGAACCGAGCGTTTCATGCGGCTCAAACCACCACCTGGATCTTATCGAGCGTAATGTGACCCAGAACAGCTAAATCTTACCGAGCGTTAATGTGGCTCGCACCACACTTAGATCCAAAATTAACCACACCTGAACCATACCGATCGATTTTGCGTCTTGGTACACACATGGATATCCCTTGGCTAGCGACTTGAACCACACCTAGATCTTACCGTGGGGCAGTGCTTGGAGATGGCTTCACACAGGCCCTTCACGATGCCCGCGTTGATGTTGAACAGATCTTGCCGGGTCATGCCGGGCTTACGTGGCACGCCAGCGGGGATCAGCACCAGATCGCTGCCCTCCAGAGCTCCGGCAAGCTCGTCCGAGCCGAGATAGCCCTTAGCCTGTTTATCGGGTTTCAATATAACGAGGACAACGAGTAATAAGTTTGATTGTACCTGCTAAGGCGTGAACTAATCAGAGAAACGGTCTAATCTTGTACCATGGGGTACATGAAAATACAAGTCGAATCGCAGGGGAATCATATGGATAAAAAGAAGTTGCTTAGACCAGTAGGATAAGGTAAAACCTCGCAGGTCGACCTGTCTACCGATGTATCTTCTACCGATCTTTCAGCCTTACCTTGGCGTTGGAGCAGATGTGGCTGATGTCAGCAGCAACTCCGTGAGTACCCGCCACATCGTACAGCGACAGATCCGTTACAAGCGGGCTCGACTTCATCAGAAGACTCAGAGGCTGCCCAATGCCGCCGCCAGCGCCCAGAACCGCCACCTTCCGAGGCTGTGCCGAGCCTGCTGCGGACGACAGGGCTCGGCGAGCAAGAGGAATCGCATTCTTCAGGAAGGCCATTTTAGCGGGGATGGAGTGTAGAGGGAGGATGTGATGAGGCGACGCGGGTGGAAGGGACGAGAAGATGAAGCGGTGGTATGGGAGGCGATTAGGAAGGAGGAAAGGCGCGGAGATGGCCTAGAACTTAAGAAGCGGAAACAGATCAAGGAAGATCCCTGTGATGCAGAAAATGAGACACCAATGGCCAGAAGTTTCTCTTTCTAGAGAACGATGAGAAGGACGCCAGACTGTCAGAACTGTGTTTTTACGGGTACAGTATGTGTTACAGGCTAGCTGTACAAGCTATAGTATTCACTGTACTTATTCCAGAATACTGTACATTGAGAATCTCGAGGGACTGGCAGCTCCACGTAGGACACACCGCGGGGAGTTGGGAATGTGCTCACCATAGATTGGGTGCCAGTCTGGTCTTGGCACGAGAAAGCGTGCCACGTGGGACGAAGACCCCAACAAGTCTGGAAAAAAACGCGAGATTTGGGGCTCCACGGCGGGAGAATCTAGATATCTGGAACAGACATATGTTTCGTTCTATGTTCAATTATTGATGAGAATACTCTCAAAGTGTCGATGGGGCTAATAACGGAATAGAACAGGTGTTTTTCATCCACTGGCTGTTCGCTGTTCTTGGATTTTCCGAACCGCGAACTCGCACGAATCGCGAATGTCACAAAATTGAATTGGGAACTGAGAAATTCAAGCCTGGAAACCAACGCCTTCCTGTCTGACTGCCTGTCACAAGGGAAATCACCACACCTCCACAAAAAATGCATTGCCAGCACACTGCTAGCACCACCACCAGCAGCTGCTGTTGCAGTTGCTGGAACGGCATTAACCAACGCCAATCCGCCCACTAGCAGCAATGGCTGAAACCTCGTGCATTGGTAATCACGCATTGCATCACGACGCATTTTTCCAAGAATACTCGCCAAATTGCGTTCCTTGATATCTGAGTCTAATAGCTTGGAATGCACAGAGCAGAAATTTATCTTGCCATTCAGGAAGAGATCCTTTCGTCTCAATCCACTCTGAAGCGGAGGAAGCATTTCATCAGTTGTTTTTCTTCCGAGTATGTCTCACAAATTGAGTGTGCTACCCCTGTTTTTCCCGTACTCCACTTTAATGATGGCTTACATCTACTTCGAGATAATTATATCTCACCCTTCACGATATATTTTGAAATAACTGATCTTCAGTTCAAGGGTGACAGTTCACCAGCCCAGTATTCATTTCTTCCATAACTTTCACGTGTTCAATGAAATAGCTTCCGCTGTTCAATGACATGTATCAGTTTCCTTTCTTCCTCTACCGGTTTTTTTCCTGTTGTTCAGTGGAGCGAATCACGCAGGCGCAATACTGGCGGGAGATCAGCGTTGGCAATGGCAATGGCGCCACAATCAACGACAATCCAACGGTGGAGAATGTGTCTCCCCAGCACACTGCCACTAACGGCCACGATCTGACGGCCAAGATCAACTCTCAGGATCCTGTGCCCATCTTGACCAAAATTACCAAGAATGGCCCTAGAATGACAGGCTTTAAGTCCGCAGAAAACAGCGAGCGCGCGAATGGCAATGGCGTGACGATGGCACCAACGGCTGGGGAAGGCGCATCTGCTGATAGGAATGGTCACTGTGATCACTTTGACCACGTTGACTCCGTTGACTGCCTTGACTCGGTTGACCAGGGTGACAGAGGGAAGGAGCCAGCTGTCATGTCGGTTGCGTCCATGATGCTGGATGCTCAGGCTGACTTGCTTGACTCCCTTGAACGCCCTGAGGTGAGCTTTGACTTGCTTGACTCCCTTGACTCATGTATGCTCCTGCCCTTACTGTCCTGACTTTTCTGCCCTGTATCCTCCCGCTTTCCTCCTCAGATACTGAGTATCATTGACGGCCTCACACCACCGCCAATGGAGCGACCCAAGCTGGTGGTGGAGCTGGGCGCGGGCATTGGCCGCTTCACTGCTGACCTGGCACGCAGGGCCACGTGGCTCACTGCCCTTGACTTCCTGCCGCACGCCCTTGCTGTGGTCAGTCTCCTTTGATTTGCTTTTGAGCCGGCTCAGAGAATTCTGTGAGACATGCGGCTTGTTTGCTGGACGCAGAGGGAAATGATTTCATTGCCAGTATTTGATTGTGTTGACTGCGTTGATCAGCTATGCATTGCCCAACCCGTCCACCCCCCAAACCCCCTCGGATGGCAGAACGTGCAAGCACATGCCCACCAGCATCCCAACGTTGACTTCGTCTGTGCTGACGTGGCAGATGCCTCGTCAGCCGCCCTGCTGACGAGGCTGGCGCCTGACCTGGTGTTCTCCAATTGGCTGCTCATGTACCTCTCGGATTCAGAGGTACGGGTCTATCTTCAAATAGCAAAGATTCCAAAGAGTCAAGGCAGAGTCTTCTTCTATTTCCTGACTTTCCTGAATCTCTTGACTCACATGACTTGCTTGACTTTTTTGACCAGCTTGAATCGCTCATCTCCGTTTGCTATCCATTCTCTCTCTTTTTCATTGCTCCTCAAACAGCCCTCTTTCTCTGACCTCCTCTTCCCCTCAATGCCCACTCACTCATCACTTCCCCCACCCTCCTTCACCTTCCCACTCCCTCCCAACCACCCACCCACAGGTGCACGCCTTGGCGCAAGAGCTGCTGCGCGCCCTGCCCCCTGGAGGCTTATTCTTCTTCCGCGAGTCCTGCCTGGAGCAGTCTGGCAGCCAGCAACGCCGCTCCAACCCCACCCACTACCGCCACCCGCTCTTCTACTGCCAGGTGGGCTTTACGACTTCTCCTCCGTCCATACCTTTTTCTACCACATACCTGCCTACCGCTCCTATCGCTCCAACCCCACCCACTACCGCCACCCACTCTTCTGCTGCCACGTGGGCTTAAAGACGCCTCAAACCTTCTTTTCTTTTATTTTCCTTTCTTTTTCAGTAGAAACCCCCTGCACATGAACCATCTCACCTGCATCGCACGTGCCACTCCACGTCCACCATTCTTCCCACTCCAGGCCTTCTCAGAAGCACATCGCCCAATCAACCAGCACCAGAGCCATCCGCAGCAGCAGGGGCAGGAGAAGCATGAGGGGCAGGATGAGGGAGGGGAGGGGAGGTTCAGACTGAGGGAGATGAGGAGCGTTGCAGCGTACTCCCGAGTGAAGGGTTTCCAGACGCAGGTGTGCTGGGTGTGGCAGAAAGTGCTACAGAGCATTCACGAGGGACTTCACACCACCCAGAGCAGCAGGAAGGAGAGCAGGGAGAGCAAGGAGAACAAAGAGAAGGAGGAGAAGGAGGAGGAGAAGGAGGGGAGCGAGGAGGAGCAGCAGCAGTACAGCCTGGAGGGCATCCTGCGCTACGAGCACATCTACGGGCGTGGCTTCGTCAGCACTGGCGGTCGAGGTGAGTTAAGGGTGGGGGGTCAACAGGAGTCAACAAAAGTCAACGGGAGATTGACAGTGGTCTTTCTCGTCGTTGCTGAGACTTGCACATGCTCCACTCTTCCCTCTCATCGCCATTTCCTCGTCCAGATCTCCAAAGCCATGAAAGCGCGTGAGATGAGTCGATTTTCGAGTCGACTCAAAATTCGACTCATCCCCGCTCATCGCCATTTCCTCGTCCAGATCTCCAAAGCCATGAAAGTTCCCCGCCGCCCATTCTCGTCCATCCCATCACCTCATTCCCATCACCTCATTCCCATCACCTCATTCCCATCACCTCATCCCATCACCTCATTCCCATCACCTCATTCCCATCACCTCATCCCATCACCTCATTCCCATCACCTCATTCCCATCACCTCATTCCCATCACCTCATCCCATCACCTCATTCCCATCACCTCATTCCGATCAACTCATTCCCATCACCTCATTCCCATCACCTCATCCCATCACTTCATTCATTCCCATCACCTCATTCCCATCACCTCATTCCCATCACCTCATCCCATCACCTCATTCCCATCACCTCATCCCATCACCTCATTCCCATCACCTCACTCCCATCACCTCATTCCCATCCCCTCATCCCATCACCTCATTCCCATCACCTCATCCCATCACCTCATTCCCATCACCTCATTCCCATCACCTCATCCCATCACCTCATTCCCATCACCTCATTCCCATCACCTCATTCCCATCACCTCATTCCCATCACCTCATTCCCATCACCTCATTCCCATCACCTCATTCCCATCACCTCATTCCCATCACCTCATTCCCATCACCTCATTCCCATCACCTCATTCCCATCACCTCATTCCCATCACCTCATTCCCATCACCTCATCCCATCACCTCATTCCCATCACCTCATTCCCATCACCTCATTCCCATCACCTCATTCTCATCACCTCATTCCCATCACCTCATTCCCATCACCTCATTCCCATCACCTCATTCCCATCACCTCATTCCCATCACCTCATTCCCATCACCTCATTCCCATCACCTCATTCCCATCACCTCATTCCCATCACCTCATCCCATCACCTCATTCCCATCACCTCATTCCCATCACCTCATTCCCATCACCTCATCCCATCACCTCATTCCCATCACCTCATTCCCATCACCTCATTCCCATCACCTCATTCCCATCACCTCATTTCCATCACCTCATCCCATCACCTCATTCCCATCACCTCATTCCCATCACCTCATTCCCATCACCTCATTCCCATCACCTCATCCCATCACCTCATTCCCATCACCTCATTCCCATCACCTCATTCCCATCACCTCATCCCATCACCTCGTTCCCATCACCTCATTCCCATCACCTCATTCTCATCACCTCATTCCCATCACCTCATTCCCATCACCTCATTCCCATCACCTCATTCCCATCACCTCATTCCTCACCTCATTCCCATCACCTCATTCCCATCACCTCATTCCCATCACCTCATTCCCATCACCTCATCCCATCACCTCATTCCCATCACCTCATTCCCATCACCTCATTCCCATCACCTCATTCTCATCACCTCATTCCCATCACCTCATTCCCATCACCTCATTCCCATCACCTCATTCCCATCACCTCATTCCCATCACCTCATTCCCATCACCTCATTCCCATCACCTCATTCCCATCACCTCATTCCCATCACCTCATTCCCATCACCTCATTCCCATCACCTCATCCCATCACCTCATTCCCATCACCTCATTCCCATCACCTCATTCCCATCACCTCATTCTCATCACCTCATTCCCATCACCTCATTCCCATCACCTCATTCCCATCACCTCATTCCCATCACCTCATTCCCATCACCTCATTCCCATCACCTCATTCCCATCACCTCATTCCCATCACCTCATTCCCATCACCTCATTCCCATCACCTCATTCCCATCACCTCATTCATTCCCATCACCTCATTCCCATCACCTCATTCCCATCACCTCATCCCATCACCTCATTCCCATCACCTCATTCCCATCACCTCATTCCCATCACCTCATTCCCATCACCTCATTTCCATCACCTCATCCCATCACCTCATTCCCATCACCTCATTCCCATCACCTCATTCCCATCACCTCATTCCCATCACCTCATCCCATCACCTCATTCCCATCACCTCATTCCCATCACCTCATTCCCATCACCTCATCCCATCACCTCGTTCCCATCACCTCATTCCCATCACCTCATTCTCATCACCTCATTCCCATCACCTCATTCCCATCACCTCATTCCCATCACCTCATTCCCATCACCTCATTCCCATCACCTCATTCCCATCACCTCATTCCCATCACCTCATTCCCATCACCTCATTCCCATCACCTCATTCCCATCACCTCATCCATCACCTCATTCATTCCATCACCTCATTCCCATCACCTCATTCCCATCACCTCATTCCCATCACCTCATTCCATCACCTCATCCCATCACCTCATTCCCATCACCTCATTCCCATCACCTCATTCCCATCACCTCATTCCCATCACCTCATTTCCATCACCTCATCCCATCACCTCATTCCCATCACCTCATTCCCATCACCTCATTCCCATCACCTCATTCCCATCACCTCATCCCATCACCTCATTCCCATCACCTCATTCCCATCACCTCATTCCCATCACCTCATTCCCATCACCTCATTCCCATCACCTCATTCCCATCACCTCATTCCCATCACCTCATTCCCATCACCTCATTCCCATCACCTCATCCCATCACCTCATCCCATCACCTCATTCCCATCACCTCATTCCCATCACCTCATTCCCATCACCTCATTCCCATCACCTCATTCCCATCACCTCATTCCCATCACCTCATTCCCATCACCTCATTCCCATCACCTCATTCCCATCACCTCATTCCCATCACCTCATTCCCATCACCTCATTCCCATCACCTCATTCCCATCATTCCCATCACCTCATTCCCATCACCTCATCCCATCACCTCATTCCCATCACCTCATTCCCAACCTTTCGTTCTCTACTTTCACCCGGCCCATTCTCATTCATTTCTCAGTCCCATCACTCTGCCGAAATACGCTGCCTCCCTGCCACCCCTCCCAGCATCCACACTTGCTCTCCTCCCGCTGCTCTCGCTGACCCCCGAGCACCAAGTACTGGACGTGGGGTGTGGGCTGGGAGGCAGCGCTCTGCTTTTGAGTGCGTACCATAATCAGACCATACGTTCCCCCTCACACCTCCCGACCCCATCTCCCTGCTGCCCCTCCCAGCATCCACACTCGCTCTCCTCCCGCTGCTCTCGCTGTCCCCCAAGCACCGGGTGCTGGACGTGGGGTGTGGGCTGGGAGGCAGTGCTCTGCTCATGGCTGAGACGTATGGCGCTAGCGTGCATGCCATCGACCTCTCTCCTACCATGGTAATACGGCTTATACTACATGCCTACACACGTACATTACGCTTGCACACACACGTCCACGTACGGACATATACGGGCACGTACACATACACACAGACATGTGCTGTGTGGGCTGCGGGACAGCGCTCTGGTCATGGCTGAGACGTATGGCGCTGGCGTGCATGCCCTCGATCCCTCTCCTACCATGGTACTGTGGTTCACACATCCATGCATACGCACATACACATGCGCACACACAAGCACACACACACACACACACACACCTGCACACACACACACACACACACACACACACACACAAACACACCCTAATCTAACCACACATTTCACCACACAGTATGGTCTATTCTGCTTCATACTCCCTTCACAATTTAAAAAGGTTTTGATTGTGGAAAGAACTCTGGGATTGGCCTCGGGTTCGGCTGAAAGGGCTACAAGCAGAATTGCTTGGGCCGTGGGTGTGCATGACATGGTGCCTGTAGCCCTCTTGGCTGATCCCTGGTCAATCCCAGTGTTCTTTCCACATTTTTCTTACTCCCACCAGCCCCTCCCCACCCCAATCCCTCCCCCCCTTTCCCCCCCCCCCCCCCCACCACTTCTCCCTATCTCAAGATGCGCCCTCTCCCACATCTTTTCTCCCACCCGCTCTACCAGATCTCTCTTGCCATTGAGCGATCCCGCAGCATTCGTGCTGCGGATGCCACGTCAGCACCGACATCCACGTCAGCATCCGTGCCCGTGTTGCAGTTCGAAGTGGCTGACTGCCTGACCAGAGACTTCCCCAATGCGTCCTTCGACTGCATCTACACCCGCGACACGCTGCTGCACATCCAGGCAAGTCATCTAGATGTGCTTCCGCGTGCCACAGCAGCGTGCATCATCTATATTTGAGTCTAGACGACTTGTGGGTCATGCAGCTTTAGCAGGCCATCTAATATCTGATTCGACAAAGGAAGTTTAGTCAATGAAGACTTTGAGTTGTCGGAGAATTGCAGGACCAGTGCGTTTCTATGGTTGCTGTCTATCCTCGCAACAGTGTCATATACCCCACTACATGTCATCCCCCCCATTCCCCACTACAGGACAAGCCTTTCCTGTTCTCCCGCTTCCACCGCTGGCTCAAACCGGGCGGCAGAGTGCTGATCACGGATTACTGTAGTGGAAAGGACAAGGAGGAACAGTGGTCTCAAGATTTTAAGAGCTACGTGGCACAACGCGGTTACCACCTGGTCACCGTCAGGCGCTACAGTGAGGTGAGTTAGCTCATATATGTGCGGTGTGCTGCCCCCACAGGAACAGACTTGGAACCCTGCAGCAACTGCTTTTGAGTCGACTCAAATCAAAAGCAGGGATTGAGCGCCCCACCTGCTGCGCACACATACGAGACCTTGAGTCGACTCAAAAGCAGACTTGGAACCCTGCAGCAACGATTCTCCTGTACCCAAAAGCAACGATTCTCCTGTACCCAAAACCCTCTGCCCTGCTCTTCCATTCTGCAGGCGAGCATGCAAATGCATCGGGTCCTTTGGAACTGTGTGAGAGTGTTCAGAATGATGTGGATTCTGGAATGGGTGTGCTTTGAGTTGAGCATGTCGCATTCTCCACTTCTGCACACTCATCCGCCCTCTCTGCCCTGTTCAAATGTGCACACTTTTCCGCCCTTCACCTGGCAGATGCTCCAGGCAGCTGGTTTCCACGTGCTCAGGGCTGAAAATCGATCACAGCAGGTGAGGTGCCAGTAGGTGAGATGGGCGCAGGTGAGATGGGCGCAGGTGAGATGGGCGCAGGTGAGATGGGCGCAGGTGAGATGGGCGCAGGTGAGATGGGCGCAGGTGAGATGTGCGGAGGTGAGATGTGCGGAGGTGAGATGTGCGGAGGTGAGGTGTGCGGAGGTGAGATGTGCGCAGGTGAGATGTGCGGAGGTGAGATGTGCGGAGGTGAGATGTGCGGAGGTGAGATGTGCGCAGGTGAGATGTGCGGAGGTGAGATGTGCGCAGGTGAGATGGGCGCAGGTGAGATGTGCGCAGGTGAGATGTGCGGAGGTGAGATGTGCGCAGGTGAGATGTGCGCAGGTGAGATGTGCGGAGGTGAGATGTGCGCAGGTGAGATGTGCGGAGGTGAGATGTGCGGAGGTGAGATGTGCGCAGGTGAGATGTGCGGAGGTGAGATGTGCGCAGGTGAGATGGGCGCAGGTGAGATGTGCGCAGGTGAGATGTGCGGAGGTGAGATGTGCGCAGGTGAGATGTGCGCAGGTGAGATGTGCGGAGGTGAGATGTGCGCAGGTGAGATGTGCGGAGGTGAGATGTGCGGAGGTGAGATGTGCGGAGGTGAGATGTGCGGAGGTGAGATGTGCGGAGGTGAGATGTGCGGAGGTGAGATGTGCGCAGGTGAGATGTGCGGAGGTGAGATGTGCGGAGGTGAGATGTGCGGAGGTGAGATGTGCGGAGGTGAGATGTGCGGAGGTGAGATGTGCGGAGGTGAGATGTGCGGAGGTGAGATGTGCGGAGGTGAGATGTGCGGAGGTGAGATGTGCGGAGGTGAGATGTGCGGAGGTGAGATGTGCTGCTAGGCTGAGTCAGTCCCAACAGGCCGAGCCCTCAGTGGTCTTGTCTGCCATGCTGCTTCATGCACATACGCGGTACCCGCTTTCATCTGCTGCTTTCATTCTCTACGATCCATCATCTGCTTTCAACTGTACAATTACCGTACCGTACCATCACATGTAGTGATGAATGCATGCCCGTCAATCATCACATCACCTCTCCCATGCCCCTCCCCCCCTCCCTTCAATCTTCGCTGCTCGTTCTCCCCTCAGTTGCGCCCATTTACCCCTAGCGCCCACCCCTGCTCAGTTCCTTGGTATTCTGAAGGTGGAAAAGAATCGATCACTCTCTGACACCAGCAGCACCTGGCCATCTTTCTCCATTCCACCCTTTTCCCTTCCCATACCCGCTCCCCTCTTCCCTCGTAACACCTCTGCTCAGTTCCTTGGTATTCTGGAGGAGGAGAAGGCTCGCTTGCTCTCTGACACTGGCAGCACACAGCCATCAGCCTCGGTAAGTTTCATCCCCTTCCACTCATCTTCCCAGTTTCGTTTGTACACATCGGTGTAGGTATGGTCTTGCCAACTGAAACACCGCAAGCTGATGCTTTCCAGAATTTGCTGATGCTTTCCAGAATTTGCTTGTACAAGGCAGAATTTGCACCATCACCTGCTCGTACACGGTCTTGCTCTTGAAAACGGTCTTGCTCTTGAAAACGGTCTTGCTCTTGAAAACGGTCTTGCTCTTGAAAACGGTCTTGCTCTTGAAAACGGTCTTGCTCTTGAAAACGGTCTTGCTCTTGAAAACGGTCTTGCTCTTGAAAACGGTCTTGCTCTTGAAAACGGTCTTGCTCTTGAAAACGGTCTTGCTCTTGAAAACGGTCTTGCTCTTGAAAACGGTCTTGCTCTTGAAAACGGTCTTGCTCTTGAAAACGGTCTTGCTCTTGAAAACGGTCTTGCTATTGAAAACGGTCTTGCTCTTGAAAACGGTCTTGCTCTTGAAAACAGTCTTGCTCTTGAAAATGGTCTTGCTCTTGAAAACTTCCTCGTGTTTGTCTCTTGACCCGTTCCCATTCCCACACCCTTCACACTGCCAACAATTCGACCATCAGGATGACCAGCTGCTAGCAGGATGGACGGCCAAGATGAAGCGAGTGAGGGATGGGAACCAGGCCTGGGGGCTGTTTCTGGTGGAAAAGAGGGAGTGAGGTGCGGTGCAGTGAGGTGGGGTTACGTGCGGCGCAGCGATGCGACACTGGACTGGATCGATGAGTCATGATTTAGCCATGACCCATGAGTCATGAGGGGCATGTTGAAGAGGAAAGGTGATGTGCTGGGGGGAGTTTTTGTCTGCATAGGACAGATTTGAATGAAAGCCCCACCACACCGCATCACACCCACCATCACACCGCATCACACCCACCACACCGCATCACACCCACCACCACACCGCATCACACCCACCACACCGCATCACACCCACCACACCGCATCACACCCCCCACACCGCATCACACCCACCACCACACCGCATCACACCCATCACACCGCATCACACCCACCACCACACCGCATCCCACCCACCACACCGCATCACACCCACCACACCGCATCCCACCCACCACACCGCATCACACCCACCACCACACCGCATCACACCCACCACACCGCATCACACCCACCACCACACCGCATCACACCCACCACACCGCATCACACCCACCACCACACCGCATCACACCCACCACACCGCATCACACCCACCACCACACCGCATCACACCCACCACACCGCATCACACCCACCACCACACCGCATCACACCCACCACACCGCATCACACCCACCACCACACCGCATCACACCCACCACACCGCATCACACCCACCACCACACCGCATCCCACCCACCACACCGCATCACACCCACCACACCGCATCCCACCCACCACACCGCATCACACCCACCACCACACCGCATCACACCCACCACACCGCATCACACCCACCACCACACCACGCATGGCACCTTGCTTGTCCATCTAGGAAATTCTCTGGCCTGGAGAATTCGATAAGACAAGTCTGTTCCTACAGATTGTGGATCGTTGCAAGGTGTCTCACCAAGGGCGGATTGCAAGGTGTCTCGTTGCTAGTGGATCTAGGCCGGAAAGCTCCCACCACCAATGTGACTCTTTTCGTTATTATTTCCTCTAGATTGTTAACTGTGCAAGCTCTTTGTGGCTTGCTTTAGATGGTGAAGTGTGCGAGCTCTTTCTGGCCTTGGTGTTCTTACTTCCGCAAACAAGCCACACATACATACGGTAACATAAGTTACAAAAGCATGCAGTGAGGACAGTATCTCAGCCAAACACATCCAGGAGAGTGTCCCACAGCAGACCCACCTATCAAACCTCACAGATGAAGCTAGCAAGTGTTCGCACACGCAATGCATCATGGCATGACACGCTCTGTTATGCCCTGCCATTCCATGCCATTTCCTGCCATGCCCTGAGACGCCTCAAGAGTCGTTCACTCGAAAATGTGTCCCCCTCTAAGGCGTGTCAGAAGCCGATGATTCAAACTGGATCCATAATTTAAGGTGGCCGTGGATTTCAGAAGGGAATCACTTACGGCTGCAACCCCCTTGCAGGAGCACCTTTGTTTGAACTGCACCCTCCTTTGAAGTGCATAGCATTCCCTTTATGAGGTGCATCTGCCTGGACCTTCCTTCACTTGCGCGGGCTGGCAGGTGTGGCGGCGGCCATGGAGTCATGCACGAAGCTGCGAGCCCACTCCTCCTCTCCTCCCATCGCCACCAACTCCTGTGAATGCATGCGTGAGTGTGTGTGGGGAAGGGATGTGTGTGTGTGTGTGTGTGGGGGAGGGTGTGCGTGTGTGTGTGTGTGTGTATGTGCCACCCACACACACATTCAGCAAGCAAGGGAAGAGGATATGCACCAATCACAACACAATGCAACGCACAATGCCGTACCACACCGCACCGAGCCCAACAAGAGAGAATCACGTCTGCTGCAAGCCCCCTCAGCAACTCTCCACATACCTTATACCCTGCTTCCCACCTGACAAGGAATGTACACAAGACTCTAGAGATCATCCATGCACCAGGCCCACCGGCCCCACCCTATGCTCACCTGCACGAGCGGCTGCATGCCCGCCTGCTGCTCCTTGGCCGGGATGAATGCTTGCTGAAAGCCCCTCCTCCCCACCACTGCCTGCACTCCACCCCCCACCCCACCCCCTCCCACTGCTCACCTGCACAAGCAGCTGCATGCCCGCCTGCTGCTCCTTCGCCGGGATGGAATCGTCGATGTAGCTGTACAGGAAAGGACCCTGCTACACTTCTCCCCATCACCCCATTGTCTACCATGCCCCCCTGTGCAGCGCTCACCTGCACGAGCAGCTGCATGCCTGCCTGCTGCTCCTTGACTGGAATGGAATCGTCGATATAGGCGTGCTGGATGGCCCTCGCATACGACTGCAACGCCTCCTTGCTCACGCGCTGTACGGGTGATAGCAAAGCGAGATGGGGAGGAGGAGGGTGGGGTAAGCAGTGCCAGTAGCCACCTGCGTTCTTGCCTAGTCAGCGCCAGCAGCAGTGCTTGTCCTTGCAGCAGCGAGGCGACTTTGGCGTGTGCTTTCGTCATCGGTGCTTCGTCATTTTTGTGTGTCCTAGTGGGAGAGAGAGAGAGGGAGCAAGCAGAGTTCTCACTTACCTTCTTGCCTGACTTGTCACTGCCAGCACCACTGCTAGTCTTCGCAGCAGCAGCAGCATCAGCAGCAGCCAGGGCGGGCTTGAGCAGAGACTCTGTCACATGCTTCCTCGCCCACTGCTCCTCCGCTCCCTTGCTCACCATGTCCTATGGCGAGAATAGGGAGCAGAATGGGAAGCAGCATGAGGAGACAAGAAGGAAAAAGGTGAGAACAGGGAGATGAAAGGGAACAATTGAGAGCGGAGAGCGGAGGGCGTAATGAGAGGGCATACCAGCACGAGAGCGTTGACTCCTCGGGTCTGTTCCAAAGCCGGTCCCCTCACATCCACATATGCAGGGAAGATGGCCCGTGCATACACCTTTAGGTCACCCTCCCTCATCCCCCCCGCCCTCTCCTGCTCCCTCTCCTTCTCCTCCTGCTGCTTCTTGCTCACCACTACAGCCTTCCCACTCTTCCTTCCTTGCTCCTTTTCTGTCACAGCTTTGCCTGCCATTGCTCCTGCTCCTGCTACAGCTGCCCCCTTACTAGGCGCTACAGCCGGCACCACCAGTCCCGCCAGTCCAGCTGTCTTCACACGATTGGCTGCAGCCGTGGCAGTGGCAAGAGCCTTCTCGGCAATGGAGAGCTGTGATTGGCTGGATCCCAGCTTGCCCTCCAGCTCAGCCACCTTCTTTTTCAGCGCCGCCTTGTGCCGGTCAGCATCTTTCGTCTGCTTGTCCAGCTCAGCGCGCAGCTGAACCACCTTGGCACCCTCCTCCTTGGCCCGTTGCTCGGCAAAAGCCAGAGACGAGCGAAGGTCGGCAATCGTCGTCTCATTCTCCGCCTTGAGAGAAGCAAGCTGCTTCTCCAGCCAATCACAAGCCTGCATGTATTTCTGCTTCTCCTCCTCAGCCTTCCTCAGCTCCCCTTCCAGCCTGGATTCCACCCCCGCCAGCTCAGCAGCCGCCCGTTTCTTCTGCGCCGCCAACTCAGCCTCCCGGTTCCGGATCTGCTGCACCAGCGCACCCTCCCGCTGCTCGAATACCGCCGAAACCTGCCGCCCGCTCTCCTCCATCCGGGCGGCCTGGGTGGCAAGGTCGCGGTTTTGCTGCAAGACGGACTCCAGCCTGGCTTTGAGCTCGGCGTTGTTCTTGAAGATCTCCGTGCGGGTCTGTGCTGCTTGCTGCAGCTTTGCTTCCAGTGCTGCCAGCCGCGCCTCCACCACCACCACCGCTGCCTGTGCCTCGTCCCTCTCCCTCTGCACGGGACCAAGGGAAATGAGGAGTGACGGGAGGGAAGAGGGTAGGGGTCAGGCAGGGAGGGTCTGTGCTGCTTGCTGCAGCTTTGCTTCCAGTGCTGCCAGCCGCGCCTCCACCACCACCACCGCTGCCTGTGCCTCGTCCCTCTCCTACTGCACAAGGGGCAAGGATGGAAGGAGAGAGGAAACTGAAAAAAAGGGGGAGAGGCCTTAAGGTCGCTTCCAGTGCTGCCAGCCGCCCCTCCACCACCACCACCGCTGCCTGTGCGTCGTCCCTCTCCTTCTGCATGGAGCGAAGCAGAACGAGTGAGGTAAGGGAGAGAGAGAGGAAGCACGTAGAGAAATAGGGAAGACTTTTGAGTCGTCTCAAAAAGCAGAACAAGCGAGATAAGGGAGGGAGAGAGAGAGAAGCACGTAGAGAAATAGGGAAGAAGTGGGAAGAAGGAAAGAGGGACGTGAGGGAGTAAGAAAAGATGTGCATGGGTGGGTGGGTGGGTGGGTGGGTGAGGAAGAAGGGAAGAGGGACGTGAGGGAGTAAGAAAAGATGTGCATGGGTGGGTGGGTGCTTTGACGTGACGTGCCATGCATGCATGCACACACGAGCATAGCCTACAGTTGATCATGCATTCACACCCACCTTCACGCCCTCAAGCCGGGCGGCGTACGTCGTCTTCTCCTGCGCGCTCTCCGCCTGCGCCCTTCGGAGCACCTCCTCCCTTTCACCCAGCGTGGCCTCGGCGGCTCTCAGCTGGGCGCGCATCGCCTCTGCCGCCGCCACCTGCTGCTGCTGCCGGGATTTCGCCGATGCCAGGCTGGCCTGCAGAGACTGGTTGTCCGTGAGTGCTGCCTGCACCTTGGACGCCAACTGGGGGTGGGTGGGGGGGTTTGTGGGGTGTTGGGAAGGCACAGGGAGGAAGGGAGAACAGGGAATGAGGAGTGAGCTGCTGTTGCCGCGAACAGGGAATGCCAGGCTGGCCTGCAGCGACTGGTTGTCAGTGAGTGCTGCCTGCACCTTGGACGCCAGCTGGGGATTGGGGGACATGCAGCGGGGAACAGGGAAAGGGAGCAAGGATGGTCATTGAGGCGGATCAAGGCTTCCCCAGCGTGGCCTCGTCGGCTCTCAGCTGGGCGCGCATCGCCTCTGCCGCCGCCACCTGCTGCTGCTGCCTGGATTTCGCGGATGCCAGGCTGGCTGCCAGCGATTGGTTCTCGGTGATTGCTGACTGCACTTTGGAGGCGAGCTGGGGGTGGGGAGAAAGAGGGAACAGAGAGTGGGAATGAGGGGGGGGGTATGGAATGGGGCGAGTGGAGAGCGGGGAATGGGGAGAGGGGAGAGGGCAACCGAAGAGGGGAATGGGGAGAGGGTTCTCATTTGAAGACTCTCTTATTTTTATCAAAGAGAAAATATAGGGAATTCTGTAATTGCCTCTGCGCTCCTCTCACCTTCTCCTTGGACTGCTTCAGAGCGTCTGTGTCAGCTGTGAGGCTCCCCAGGGCGGCAGACAGCGACGCCACTTCCTGCTGTAGTCCGCCCATTGCCGCCCGGGACTCGCTCCGCTCCGCCTGCAGCCGCCCGTTCGCCGCCCGCAGCTCCTCCAGCTTCTGGGCGGCAGCCTGCGCCGCCCGCTTGCTGGCCTGCAGCGACTGGTTCAGATCCGCCGCCCGGGACTGCAGCGCCTGCGACCGGGCGGCCTCGGCCTGCAGCGCGAGGGTGGCACGTTTTGTCTTGACCTCCTTGCCCCGGACAAAATCCACCAACCGGCTGATCAGCGACTGTTTCTTCACCAGCACCACCTCTTCTCCTTCCTCTGCTCTCTCTCCCTCCTCCCTAATCCCTCCGAAGGTCAACTCGGCTGGCCTCGCCTGCCTGCCCACTTCCTTGGCGCTCTGCCCTCCCCTTGCCTTGAACAGCCCCGTACCGGCAATTCGAGCAGCGAAGGAGGGCGAGGAGGGCGAGGAGGAGGAGGAGGATGACGCGGAGGAGAAAGAGGAAGGGGAGATGGAGGCGGAGGAGGTGGAGGCGGAGGCGAGAGAGGGAGTAGCGACGACGGTGGTGTCGGCAACAAGCTGTTGCAGCTGCAGCTGAAGGTCCGAGTCGGTGGGCGAGTCGAAGCCTTTAATGGCGTCCACTATGCTGTCTATGCTCGCCTGCACCCGCGCTCGCGCTGGAGGGGGTGGCGTGAGAGGAGGGACACATGAAGGGGAAAGAGGAGAGAGGGGGTTGAAGGTCAGAGTCGGTGGGCGAGTCAAATCCCCTGATGCTGTCCACTATGCTGTCTATGCTCGCCTGCACCCGCGCTCGTGCTGGGGTGGAGAGAGAGAGAGGATGCGCAAGCAAGGGGGAGAGGTAGAAGAGGGGGGAGAGAGGAGGGACACGCAAGGGAGCGGGGAGAGATGTGGGCGAGTTGAAACGCTGAAACAAAGTCATCAGATTCGTCGCCCAACCTGCCCAGTACCCACCCCCGTGCCCACCCCGCCCACCCCCGTGCCCACCCCGCCCACCCCCGTGCCCACCCCCGTGCCCACCCCCGTGCCCACCCCCGTGCCCACCCCCGTGCCCACCCCCGTGCCCACCCCCGTGCCCACCCCCGTGCCCACCCCGCCCACCCCCGTGCCCACCCCGCCCACCCCCGTGCCCACCCCCGTGCCCACCCCCGTGCCCACCCCGCCCACCCCCGTGCCCACCCCCGTGCCCACCCCCGTGCCCACCCCGCCCACCCCCGTGCCCACCCCGCCCACCCCCGTGCCCACCCCCGTGCCCACCCCCGTGCCCACCCCCGTGCCCACCCCCGTGCCCACCCCGCCCACCCCCGTGCCCACCCCCGTGCCCACCCCCGTGCCCACCCCGCCCACCCCCGTGCCCACCCCGCCCACCCCCGTGCCCACCCCGCCCACCCCCGTGCCCACCCCGCCCACCCCCGTGCCCACCCCGCCCACCCCCGTGCCCACCCCGCCCACCCCCGTGCCCACCCCCGTGCCCACCCCGCCCACCCCCGTGCCCACTCCGCGCCCGCGCCACCCACCCGGCCCTCCGCGGACGTAGGAGGAGAGGAAGTTGAGCGCCACGCCCGTACCCACCAGCACCTCCAGGTCCGCTAGGAAGGGGACCTTGTCAAGTGCCTGGGGAGAACGGGGGGAAGGGGGACAAGGGGGGAAAGGGGGACAAGGGGGGAAAGGGGGACAAGGGGCGATGGGGAAGTTGAGCGCGACGCCCGTGCCCACCAGCACCTCCAGGTCCGCTAGGAAGGGGACCTTGTCGAGCGCCTGGGACATACGGGGGGGGGGGAAGAGGGGGGAGAAAAGGGGGAAGAGAAAGGGCGGTGAGTGGGGGAAGGGATGATGGGGAAGTTGAGCGCCGCGCCCGTGCCCACCCGCACCTCGAGATCCGCCAGGAACGGTACCTTGTCGAGCGCCTGGGGGGATGAGGGGAGGGGGCGGTGGGGGGAAGGGACGAACACAGGTAAGTGGGTAGGAGGAGGAAGCGGCGACGGGGAAGTTGAGCGCCGCGCCCATGCCCACCCGCACCTCGAGGTCCGCCAGGAATGGTACCTTGTCCAGCGCCTAGGGGGCCGGGGGGGAGAATGTGCGGGAACGGGGGAAAAGGGGGACACGGGGAAGGGGCAAGGGGCGATGGGGGAGTTGAGCGCCGCGTCCGTGCCCACCAGACCAGCACCTCCAGGTCCGCCAGACAGGGTACCTTGTCGAGCGCCTGGGGAGCCGGGAAGGGATGGGGAGGAGACATGGCGTTGAGATGAGGGATAGAGGGATGAGAATTTAAAGAACGAGCTGTGTAAAGTAAGTGTTGCTGGCCAAGTTGACCAGTCAACAAGTCAACAAGTCAACGAGTCAACGAGTGAGTCGATGAGTCAACGCAGGTACAGTGAGGCACTCACCTCAAGCACTTGCGCGCTGACTTGCACGCCCACGGCTGCTGCGGCCGCTCCTGCGACCCACATGCCCGCCTGCTTCCACTGCTCGTGCGGAGGGCGGGTCGGAGGGCGCGACGGGGGAAGGAAGAAAGGAGGGAAAGGAGGAGGCCAGATTAGATGAGAAGGGGAGGGGACGGGGCGGATGAAGAGTAGAAAGGGAAAGGGGTCGCTGGGAAAGAGATGACTTGTTGAGTCGACTCAGAAGTCACCAAGAGGCCAGATTAGATGAGAAGGAAAGGGGGCGGGCCGGATGAAGAGTAGAAAGGGAAAGGGGTCGCTGGGAAAAGAGATGCCAGACAGGGAAGGAACTCACTCCCTCATTTGTCCCTGGCACACAGCAACTCCCCACAATCCATCAATACCAGGCCCCACCGCTTCCCACCATTCTCCAACCTCCGACACGCCCCCACACCCCCAAGATTCCCCGACATTCCCCCACCCCTTGACACTCCCTTCAGCCCCCCCTCCACCTCTCTCCCCCAGCCTCCCCCTTTCCCTTCCCAGTGCGCGCACCAGGGGGCGTTTCCTCCCGATTCTGGAAAAGCCCGCGAAGAGTTTTGAGTAACACTCCCCCCCAACATTCCCCCGCTTCCGCCCAACCCCCAACATTCCCCCCAGCCTCCCCCTTTCCCCTTCCCAGTGCGCGCACCAGGGGGCGTTTCCTCCCGATTCTGGAGAAGCCCGCGAAGAGGCGGCGAGTGACCGGCTCGCGGGGGATGGGCGCGGGAGGTGCGCGCGGCACTGTGGCGATTGCCCGGCTCTTGCTGCTGCTGCTGCTGCTGCTGCTGCTGTTGGTGCTGTTGGTGCTGGTGGTTGTGTTGGTGTTTTGCGCATTGTGAGGTTGATGAGAGTGGGAGCTGTGGTTCTGCTCCGATTGGCTGATAGAGGCACGAAAGGGAGGGAGGGAGAGGGAAGGAGGGAGGGGGAAGGAGGCAGAGGGAGGGACGGGGGGAAGGAGGGAGGGAAGGGGGGAGGGAGGAAGGAAGGGAGGGAGGGAGGAAGGTAGGGAGGAAGGAAGGGAGGGAGGTGAGCATTGCTGGTGAGTATCGGATGGAGAACGAGAAATGTGCATGGCCTCTGCAGCAGAAGCAGGCCGTTATTTATTTGATCTTGAGAAATAAAAGAGAGAATAATAAATGCGGGCTGGGTTGAGAGCAGGGCGAAAGGTTGAGATCTGGAAGAAAAGTGACCAAAAAAAAAGGTTTCGGAAAAGAGGGGGGGGAAGGAAGGGAGGGGGGGGGGGGGGGGGGGGGGGGGGGGGGGATAGGAATACGACACGGTGCGACAGGAGATAATACGGCATGACTCGCACCGTTTGGAGGGCTTGGTGGAGGGCACGACTGCAGCCGTCCATCTGGGCGTGGTGCGCTTGAACGCTGGCGCGGATGAAAGGGGAGAGAGGAGGAGGGGGGGAAAGGGGGAAGGGGGTGGGGGGGGGGAAAGGACGCAAATAATGAACGCGGAGATGGACGCGAAGAAAACAGACGCAGAGACACCTGGGCGAAAGACGCCTGCGCGAAGCATGAGCGAACGACGCATGCGCGACACATGAGCGAACGACGCCTGTGCGACACATGAGCGAACGACGCATGCGCGACACATGCGGGAACGACGAATGCGCGACACATGAGCGAACGAAGCCTGTGCAACACTTGAGCGAACGACGCCTTGAGTTAACCCGAAAATGCCTGCCTCGTTCGTGTAAAGTCCACTACGATCCCACTACGGCTCGGTCCCCCATTATTGAGTTTACTCAGAAGTGCCTGCCTCGTCCGTGCACAGTGCACTAAGCTCCCACTACAGCTCGGTCCGCCATTCTGCCATTACGTATTTGGCCGCATTGACGCGTCCCGGAATAAGTCTGCTGCCGTTAATGTCTGCTTCCGTTAGCGTCCGATTCTGTTTTCGTCTGCTTACGTACTTGCGATACAACTTGCTACCACCCACGTATTACGTCATTTCGACAAGCTGGTAACTTATGTGTCCCCATTTCGTCGAACTAGCAACTTAGTATGTCCCCATTTTGTCGATCGAGCAACTTAGTATGTCCCCATTTCGTCGAACTAGCAACTTACTATGTCCCCATTTCGGCTTCGCGGTGGCGGAAAGGAGTTTGCGCCAGCGCTCATCGCTGTGCAGCGCGCTGCTCCCCGCGCCCATGCGCCCGCTTGCGCCAATGCGGCTGCGCGCGCTGGGGCAGGGCGCGAGGCTCACGCGGCGACTCCTGACGCTCTCGCGGCTCTGCGCGGCATGTCTCGCCGCGGAGATTGCGCGGCTGCTCGGCGCGCCGGGCAGGCATAACTGCGCCTGCACCTGCAGAACCACGAGGGCCGCCATACCGCTGTGTGTTGCGACCGCTGTGAGTCTTCGCTTCCTATACACACGATAAGCTTACTAACGAAATTTAGTCTAGACCCCGCCCCTGAGCCTCGTCGATCCCTCTCCTCTGCCCTTTCCCCACACGACGAGATCTGAAATGAGCGCGAAAAATGAGGATGCATGGGATGGGACAGCCGCCGCTTGCCTCTCTCCTAGTGTTGAGTTGGAGGGGAGGGGAGGGAGGGGGAATGGGGGATGGAGGGGACAGTCGGGGAGGAAATTGGGATTGCGCTTGCGCCTTGCATGACGTGAAGAACGGAGAAGATCGGGATTCGGGAGTGCAAAAGGGGCGGAGGTAGCGGGGGAGAGCACTAAGGGCGGGGAGTGGAGGGGTGAGGAGATCCATTCAATTGGCGGGAGATTGAGTGGGGCGAGCGGGAAAGGTAGATGTGGAAAAAGGGGGGGAACGGCCAAGGAGAACGTACAGTTCCGCAGGGGTAACTCTGGGAGCGGGGTTTGGATGGGGTCAGCTGGGGGAATGGGGCGAGCTGCGGGATGGATGGAGGGGGACCATAGAGAACGTCATCGCTACGCGACGAGAGAGGGGGCAGCGCTAACAGAAATTCAATATTTCTGCGCATATTTAGCAAAACCGGCGCGATTATTCCATCTAATGAGTCAGCCAAGTACACTACTGAAAATATATCCCCTTTCCCAACTCCGTTCGGGGCAACGTTCGAAAAACTGTTCATTCTGCTGTGGGGATTGCTGGCACGACACACTCCCCTAAGGCTTGGCGCCAGCAGTGATCGAACGAAGGAGACAAGGAGGTGGTTGAAGCAAAGATCCGCTCCTCGTCATCGACACGTAAGCATCGGATCCGCGCTACGCCACGTCGGATTTTGATTCTAAAAGAGTACACTACTGCCCAGAATCTTACGGTATGTCTATAGCAAGCAATATCCATATTATAGTGTTATCTTATGTTTGTTGAGGCCCAGCAGTAGAGGCTGCTTTAGAGTCAAGCAAAAGAAGCATGTTATAGAAGAGCCGCATGAAGTGGTCGAGTGGGCCGGGCAAGCAGTAATAGTAGCAATCCATGGAGCCGTCAAGCTTCTTGATGTGTCCGTCGGGGCGCATCGAGAGTGACCAATCAAGATCAATGTAAAGGCCTCCAAATTCCTGTCAAGAACAAAACACAGAACACATTACAAACCCAAAGCAGGTCATGAAGCAAGGAGAACACTAGACTGCCATGTAGCTCACATAGGCACAAGCTCTCCAGCATAGCTTTCACGCACCTTCACAATGGCCTTGGCCCCCTTCGCTCTGTTCCACCACGTAGCTCCACTGGCTCTCGTTGGTTTCATTGTGTGGCACGGCCTTGAGCGGCTCAGTGGCGTTGCCGTCGGGGTGGCTTTTTACTTGACTTTCGAGGTCCACTCAAAAGTCACCTAGAACATCCCCACCTTAGCTCCCACACTCACCTTCACAATAGCCTTGGCCCCTTCGTTCTGTTCCACCACGTAGCTCCACTGGCTGTCGTTGGTCTCATTGTGCGGCACGGCCTTGAGTGGCTCTGTGGCATTGCCGCAGTCCGGGTGGCCGCGCCACGTGTTGCGCCACACAAACAAGACGTCTGGCGCCACCTCCCGCAGCTTCGCCAGCGATGCACGTAGCGTTGACAGGTACTTGGCAGCTGGGAGATGAGAAAATTAAGAGGAGGAAACAGCACACACCCAAAGGCCGAAACGAATATGGTGAGACGAAGTGAATGGAGAGTGAGAACACGGTGCGCATGGCAGCAGCACACGAGCAGCACGTGTTGCGCTACACCAGCAGCACGTCTGGCGCCACCTCCTGCAGCTTCGCCAGCGATGCACGCAGTGTGTACAGGTACTTGGCAGGTGGGCGACAAGACGGAAGGAGAGGTAAAACATGCACAAACGTGGTGAGACGGAGTGTGTGAGCAGTAAGAAAACACGGCAACAAGAAAGCACTGCACCATGACTTAGCAAAAGGGTGGAAAGCTCCAGACCTCGTCAAGTTAAACCCCATTGAAATGATTTCGAAGCCCTTAAGGGAGGACTTACGGCACCTATTGTAACAACGTAGGGGAAAAAAAAAAAGAGGACCTACTTGGTCTTTTTTCGAAGCCCTTGTTGAGGACGACAATGGAGGCGTTCCACTCGGTGAGGTGGCGCAGCCAGCGCTGGTTGAACTTGCCGCCCCCGGCAGAGTCAGGCGAGAGCAGGTTGTTGTGCACCACTCGGAAGGTGAATCCCCCGGGCACATGGTCCGAACACACCACGTGCGGTTTGCGGTGGCACAAGGGAATTTCATTCTCCTCCCTGCGAATGCGAAAAGGGAGAAAACAAAGGGTGTTTGGTGCAGCTCCAAGGAAATTTAGTCGGGAGAGAGCAGGTTGTTGTGCACCACTCGGAAGGTGAATCCCCCTGGCACATGGTCCAAGCACACCACGTGCGGCTTGCGGCGGCACAAGGGAATCTCGTTCTCCTCCCTGGGAATGCAGAAAGAGAGAGAGAACAGGGGTGTTGAGGCTCCCTGGCGACTGGGCATGGGCTGTGAGAGCAGGTTTCTGCTGGTGGCGGGTCGAGCTAAACCCGCAAACACACCTACCCATGGAGCGAGCTATACGGCAGTTCACCAACACGAAGCATCACACCTCCGGACGTCTCACCCAACAGGCACCACCAGCCGTGCCAATATCTTTCGTAGTCTTCATGGTGAGCACGTGGATAATAAACACATTATGGAGAGCAAGCTGTGAATGGTCGCCCACAAACACCGCGTTCCTCTGCCCCACTCACCAGCAAAGCTACCTGCTACCTGCAGTGTCTGCATCATCTCAACCACTCACCATGCATCAGCGGCCGTGCCGATATCCTTGGCAGTCTTCATGATGAGCACGTGGTTCATGGACACACTGTGGAGAGCAAGCTGTGACTAGTCGCCCACGAACACCGCGTTGCGGTGCCCCAAACAGCAGCAATGCTACCTGCTACCTGCAGCGATCATGCACTGGTGCCGATATCCTTGGCGGACTTCATGGTGAGCACGTGATCAATAAACAATGCTACCCCAAGCAGTAGCGATGCTACCTGCTACCAGCTACCTGCTACCTGCAGAGACCACATCACCCCAACGACTCACCAGGCATCAGCAGCAGTGCCGATATCCTTGGCAGTCTTCATGGTGAGCACGTGGTTGATAAACACATCGTGCAGCGCCAGCTGCGACTGATCCCCCACAAACACCACGTTGCGCTGCCCCATGGCCCGGCAGAACTTGTCGCGGTTGTACCCGTTGAGCGGCGGGCAGAATCGGCTGGCCTTCCACGTGTGCTTCAGCTCCGGACGCACGTTCCAGTCGCCCGTGCCCGACACCCGGATGTCCTCCGCTGCCTTGCCGAACACGCCCTTGCTGTGAGGGTTCAGTGGGGAGGGGAGGCGAGGGAGTAGAGAAACAAAACATAAGCTGTTGGCCACAGGAGGTGCAATGAGACACGCCGAGAAAAGAGGACATGAGACGTACGTTTTGCCGTGTAGAATGTCTGTCACAGGGCAGCTTATACAGCTCAAGTAAAGAGCTTACTTCTTGCGGTGCAGAATGTCACATGTGCCGTAGTGAGGCGTGAGCGGGTTGCAGTTGGGGAGCTTGCATGCATCACTTTTGAGATAACATTCACAAAGTGATACGAGGCAGCACTTACTTTCTGCGGTGCAGAATGTCACAGGTGCCATAGTGGGGCGCCAGGGGGTTGCGGTTGGGGTCCTTGCTCCAGGGCTGCCAGCGGGGCGTGTTGAACTTGATCCAACGGCCCTCCTTCGCCAGACACGCCATCTCACGGTTGGTCTGCTCCACTGCCTGTGCGCCCCGCACTGCCGTCCCTGGGATGCATTCCGAGTAGTTCCTGCAGGGCGCTGTGAGGGGGGAAGGGGTGATGGATTGAGAAAGAAAGACTTCTATTAGTTTCCAACTGCCTGTGCGCCACGCACTGTCAGCGCTGGGATGCACTCAGTAGTTCCTGCAGGGCGCTGTGAGGTGAGGGGGGGAGTGGCGTGGGGAGGGATGAAAGGAGGGGGCGGGGGGTGGGGGTGGTTATTGAGGGAGTTCTTTGGGCTTCTTGAATTGATTACCGCCTCTGTGCCCCGCACTGTCGTCCCTGGGATGCACTCTGAGTAGTTTCTGCAGGGTGCTGTGAGAGGCGGGAAGAGGGATGGATTAAGACAGATGGATTTGAGTTAGGCGCCCAAAGTGAAACACTGCAGTATGTGTGCCCATCTCTGCTGTTCCTGCACGGTGCTGTGAAAAGTGTGGATTGAGGAGGAAACGGACTTTACCATGGAGAAAAAGAGGGAGGACAAAAGAGCAGAGGACAGAAAGAAACACTTGACAGACATGACATTCCGGACACACGAGAAAGAGCCAAGTGGATGTCATTCTCAAGTGGCAGCCCAAGGGAATGGAACACACATAGCATGGCCGTATCACACACTTGGGTCAAGTCAAACTACTCACTGAGGGGTTCAGGTGCTTTGACTTGAGGCGCAGGCGAGGCGTCAGCAGCAGGCGTGGCATCATCTGGAGGTGGGAACGACTCTGCACCGCTACTGCTGCTATCACTGCTGCCAGCAGCAGCAGCACCACCACTGTCAGCTCCACCAGTGGCAGAAGCAGCAGTAGCAGCACCATCACCAGTCTTCCCTTCATCCTTGTTCTCCACTCCCCCTCCCACTTGTTCCGTGTTCTTTCCTGCTTGCCCTGCCTCTCCTGCTTGCCCTGCCTTCCCTGCTTCCTCTCCTGATCCCTCTGTTCGCTTCACACTACCAGCCTCCCCTCCCTCCTTCAACCCTTCATCCGCAACCCCTACTGCCCCTCCTTCCTCGCCTCCTGCTCCTGTGCCTTCCTCCACTCCTCTCTGCTCACCTGCTCCTGGCTCCCCCCCTGCCCCTCCCTTCTCTGCTGCCCCTTCCTCTGCTGCTCCTTGCTCCGGTACCTCCTTCCTCCCCGTCTCCTCCCTGTCCCCCTCGTCACCAGTATCGAGCCCACCTGCCTCTGAAGGCCCAACAGCCCCATCACTCTCCTTGGCTTCTGCTCCTGCATCTTTCCCCGCTTCCCCACTGCCCGCTTCCCTCCCTTCCCCACTGCCTGCCACCACATCCTCTTTTCCTCCCTCTACCACACCCCCGGTTGCTTCTGCAGCCCCACTTTCCCCCGCCTCCTGTCGGTCCCCACTCCCTGCCCCACCCTCGTCCTCTGCCCCTCCCTCGCCCTTCCCACCCTTCTCCTCCCCCTCTCTACTGCTGTCTCCTCCTTCGCCACCACCAGCAGCACCAGCGCCATCAGCACCAGCGCTATCAGCACCAGCGCCATCAGCACCAGCGCCATCAGCACCAGCGCCATCACCATCACCATCACCATCACCAGCACCAGCACCAGCAGCAGCAGCACCAGCAGCAGCACCAGCACCAGCACCAGCACCAGCACCAGCACCAGCACCAGCACCAGCACCAGCACTATCACTATCCCCAGCATCAGCACCAGCAGCACCAGCAGCGCCAGCAGCACCAGCAGCACCAGCAGCGCTAGCAGCACCAGCAGCACCAGCAGCGCCAGCAGCGCCAGCAACCAGTGGTCGACCAGGCTCTGACTCCCCCTCAGGACGCACAGGCAGGAGACCGGACCTCACAGGCTCGGGTGATACCCCTTGCTGCCCTCGCTGCCCGCTCTGCTGTGGCTGCTGGGAGTGGGAGTCGATGAGGCGGAGCAGGTTGTAGAGCAGAGAGACCCAGTGGTCGAGGGGGCCTGGCATGCAGTAGTGGCGGCAGTCCACTGTGCCGTCCATCCTCCTGTGATGGCCGTCCGGGCGCAGGGAGGTGGCTGAGTCAACGTCTAGATAAACCACTCCGTACTCCTGGCAGGGGGAGGAGGAAGGAGAGAGGTGGGACAAACGAGTGGGATTGGTGAGTAAGACGTAACACACAGTAACACTCACAGCAGGCAGTGAGGTGGCTGAGTCTACGTCTAGATACACCACCCCGTGCTCCCGGGATGGGAGAGGAGGGATGGGAACAGGGACGGAACGGGGAGGGATGAGAGGGGGCAACATGAGCAGCAGTAGTGGCAGCAGTCCACTGTGCCGTTCAGCCGCCTGTGGTGGCCGTCGGGGCGCAGTGAGGTGGCACCACTGACCTTGAGCAGCGACCGCACAGCAGCGTTCATCTCATCTCAGCGTGCCTAGTCCATATGGTGCAGGATGTTTTTGAGAATTCTCAAAAACACTCTGGTCCATGTGGCCGGCAGCTACCCCTTGAGCTGCAGCGGCATCTGTTCACCTGATGATGCTGCTACAGCCCACACCCACTCACCTCACCCTGATGCTCCCTGCTGTTGACTAGCCTTATCCAAGCCCGCACCACTCACCTTGAGCAGAGACCGCACGGCAGCATTCATCTCAGCATGTCTAGTCCAAGAAGCCGGCAGCTGCCCCCTGAGCTGCAGCGGCTGCTGTTGACCTGCTGCTGCTGCATCCAGCACCCACTCACCTCACCCTGATAATGCCTGCTGCTTACCAACTTTGACCATGCGCGCGCCACTCACCTTGAGCAGAGACCGCACGGCAGCATTCATCTCAGCATGTCTGGTCCAAGTAGCCGGCAGCTGCCCCCTGAGCTGCAGCGGCTTGGGGCGGCGCTTGAGCGGGCGGGTGAAGCGGTGGCAGCTGGGGTGGCCCGCAGGGGAGTTGCGCCAGATGACCAGCATGTCCGGATAGAGCTCGCGCACTGCCTCCAGGGTGTCTCGCACCTCTTGTAACATTAGGTCCTCTGGAGAGAGGAGGGAAAGGGAGGGAGGGATACATGGGGGGAGTTGCACCAGATGACGAGCATGTCCGGATAGAGCTCGCGCACTGCTTCCAGGGTGTCCCGCACCTCCTGCAGCATCAGATCCTCTGGGGAGGGCGTGAGAGGGGTTACATGGGAAGGGAGGTGGGGAGTTGCGCCAGATGACCAGCATGTCTGGGTTGAGCTCGCGCACTGCCTCCAGGGTGTCCCGCACCTCCTGCAGCAGCACCATGTCCGGAGGGGCCTCAGGCTAAAAGAACTATTTGAGGGGCCTCGGAAAGCAACCTTCAAGTAGCCTGAAGAAAGAATAGGGATGTTCCAGGGTGCACTCACTGTCATTAAAGAGCGCGGTGCGGGAGAGGATGAGGATATCCGTGCGCCACCGCCGCAGGCGGCGCAGCCAGCGGGTGTTGTAGCGCGTGGGGCGGCCTGTGTCAGGCGTCAGAAACGGATTCAGCACCACCCGCAGGTTAAATCCTGCCGCCGACGATGCCTCCCCGCCCCTCGCCACTCCTCTGCCCGAACCTAGCCCCGATCCTGACCCAGACCTGGACCCCAGCTGGAGATTAGACCCCGACCCTCCTCCAGCAGTGCTGCCACCCCCTGAACTCCAGCCGCTGGGGCTACCCCCATCGCTTCCCCCGCCTTCCTCATCCTCCTCATCCCCTTCGTCTCCCCCGTTGGAGCTCCCTTGACCCACCCTTCCCCCAACTCCCCCTCCTCCCCCATCTCTTCCTCCCTCTGTCCCCTCCGCCCCTTCCTCCTCGTCCTCCTCCTCGCTCCCATCGGACTCCCACAGCAGCATGCGGCCTCGAGCGCCCCCTCCCTGCCTCCTCCCCCGCCTCCTGCGCTCCTTCCCACGCACGGCAGCTATACTGCTAGCACTCCCACCTTCCTCATCCACCCCCTGCCTATCCCCCCCTCCTGCTGCGCCAGTGGTGTCGGGGGGGCCTTTGCCGTACGAGCCAGAGGCGGTGGAGGAGGGGAGAACAGCGGAGGTGGGGTTGATGGGCACGTCGGTGCATAGCTGGTGGCCCGCCTCGAAGCATGCGCCCTCCGTGACATTGGCCCTGGGGGCAATCGAATGAGGAGTTTGTGCGGGGGGCGGGGGTGAGGGTGAGTGGTGAGGCACGTGAGCCTAGGTAAGGATGTGGGAGGAACAGAGCTGGTGGCCTGCGCTGCCTCAATGCATGCGCTGCGCCCCCCGTGACATAGGCCCTGGAAATCGCATGTGGAGGGGGGGGGCTTTTGAGACGTCTCAAAAGGCGGGGGGCGGGGGTGAAGGTGAGTGGTGAGGGACATGAGTCTAGGTAAGGATGTGGGAGGAACAGAGCTGGTGGCCTGCATCAATGCATGTGCTGCGCCCCCCGTGACATAGGCCCTGGAAATCACATGTGGAGGGGGGGGAAGGATCACTATGAGGTGCCTTAGAAGATGGCTTGAAGGCAACAGCCTGCAGCTCAGAAGATGGGTTGTCCCCGTCCCTCCATTACCAACCACCCTCCCTCCCTCCCTCCCTTGCCTCTCACCATCCATCACCCAGGCGGCCGGCATCTCTTTTGGTCCCAGCGGTGGGCAGATGGTTGAGCACAGCATCATGCATGTCCAGTCCAGACTAAACGCATCCCCCACCAGCACCACGTTCCTGCCCCCGCACTGCCCGGCAGACAAACACATCTCTCACCATCCATCGCCAAGTCGACCAGCATCCCTTTTCGTAGCAGCAGTAACCAGATGGTTCAGCACAGCGTCATGCATGTCCAGGCTGAAAGCATCCCCCACCAGCACCACGTTCCGCCCCCGCACTGCCCGGCAGAAACCCTCGCGGTCGAACCGCACGAACGGGCACCGCTCCGGCTCGCTGCTGCGCCACTCGTACAGCACCTCCCGCCGAACCTTCCAGTCCGGTGCGGCCGAGCCTCGGCGGCGGGAGGCTCGGGAGTACTTCTGGCGGATTTGCTCGGCTTGGAGGCCGTAAATGCCGCCCTCCCTGAATGGGTGGGGGAATGAGAAGGGAGGCAAGGATCGAGGAAGGAAGGCCCAAGAAGGACAAGGGGAATGGCAGGTGAGAGGGGGACGCCATTCAAAGAGGGGCAAGGAGGAACGGAATTATGAGAGGCTAAACGGACATGGGTGAAGCGTGGCATAAGGGCTTAGAAGGGTGGTGAGGGCAGTCACGGGAATCAAAGAAGAAGAAGAAAACATGATTCTCTTTTGAAGTTATTTCAGAGCAGTTACACAACAGGAGTCATCCAGGTACCGCTGGGCGTGCAGCATGTCGCAGGTGCGGTAGTTGGGCTGCTCCTTCACTCTCAGCGGGTTGAGGTCCCACGGCAATGCTATTCGTTACTCGCAGTTCATATGTTGATATCTATCTCTTACCGCTGGGCGTGCAGCATGTCGCAGGTGCAGTAGTTGGGCTGCTCCTTCACTCTCAGCGGGTTGAGGTCCCACGGCAATGCTATTCGTTACTCGCAGTTCATATGTTGATATCTATCTCTTACCGCTGGGCGTGCAGCATGTCGCAGGTGCGGTAGTTGGGCTGCTCCTTGACTCTCAGCGGGTTGAGGTCCCACGGCAGCCATCTAGGCGTCGAGTTGAGCGCCCACCGCCCCTCCCTCGCCACACACGCCAGCTGCCGCTCCACCTCCATCACCTGATGGTGGCGGGGGGAGGAGGGAGGAGGGGGTGGGACAATGGGGAGGGTGGCATGGCAAGTACCCATCAGTGGGGCAGGCATCGCGGGGAACCGAACACCGTAGTGATCCAGGAAACCGAACACCGCTCACTCACCTTGGTGCCTCTGACGCCGGTGCCTGGAATCCGCAGCGAGGCAAAATCAAGCAGCCCCTCATCGTCCTCCCCCGGAGCCTCCTCCTCCTCCTCCACCTGCGCGTCCTCCACACTGGGAGCCTCGTCCGCCGCCCTGGTCCCGTAAAACATACTCGCCACACGCTCCTCCTCCTTTCTCTTCGCCGCATCCTTCCCCACCCTCCCCGCCTGCCTCACACGCCCCGTTCCCCGCCCCGCCTCCTCCTCCTCCGCCTCCTCCTCGTCATCCTCCTCCTCTTCCTCCTCCTCTGCCACTGCAACCCCCTTCTTCGCCTTAATTCTCGGGTTCTTCTTATTGATTCGTGCTGCTAACCCCTCTGCTTCTTTGGCCGCCTGCTCGAATTCTTCCACTGCGTCATCCACCTCATCCTTCCCTCCCCGCGCCCGTTTCCTCTTCCCTCCACTTCTCTTCTTCTTCCCTCCCACCTTCTTCCGCTTCGCCCTGCCTCCTCCTTCCTCCTCCTCCTCCTCTTCCTCCTCCCCTCCCTCCTCTTCTTCCTCTTCATTCTCATCCTCGTCTCCTTCCTCTTCGTCCTCCTCCTCATCCCCAGCTCTCTTCCGCCCCTTTCTCCCAGCCCTAGGACTCTCCTCTTCCTCCTCCTCGTCCTCTTCCTCCTCTGCGTTTCCCTCCCCTCCATCCTCCTCCTCCTCTTCCTCATCCTCATCATCCCCCCTGTTCCCCCTTTTCCTCCCCATTCTACCCCCACGAGCGCTCCTCTCCTCCTCCTCCTCTTCCTCCTCATCATCCCCACTCGCTCTCCCCCGCCCTCCTCTCACTCCCCCTCTTCCTCCCAAACCTCCGACCTTTCCTCTCATCTGCCCAATCGCACTACCGATTCCCTCCTCCTCTTCCTCATCCTCGTCCTCCCCTCCTCTCCGTCCACCTCCCTTTCCCCCCCACCCACCACTCCCTCCCGCAATTCCCATCCTGCCCATCTTACCCGAACCAGCACTCCCCAGCCTTCCACCAAACGCCCCTCCGCTCCCTCCCCCGCCTTCCCCATCCTCCTCCTCGTCCTCCCCATCCCCGCCAAACGCACTCCCTTTTCTCTTCACAGCACCGCCACGCCCACCAAAAGCACCCATCCTCCCACTCGTACGTCCACCAAACCCCTCCTCTCGAGCCCCAAACGCCCCTCCCTTCGCACTCCCTCTTCCGCCACCCAAACCACCAGCACCTCTCTCCTCATCCTCATCATCCTCCATACCCGTTGCCGGCAGGCCGCCAAACCCTCCTGTCCTACCACCCCCAGGTCCAGAGCCAGCTAGCTTCGAACCCCACCCTGTCGAACCTCCCATTCCTCCATCCCCGTCTTCCTCATCCTCGTTACCAGCCTCTCCAAAACCCAGCCCGGACCCGCTTCCGGGTCTAAACCCGCCTGTCCCGATTCCGCTTCCCTCACCCTCCTCGTCTGACGCAGTGCTAGGGCTTTCCGTCTCCTTCTTCCCACCACCCCATAACCAAGAAAACCACCCAGCCTTAGCCGCTGGTTGGGCCGTTTCAGCTTTGGTACTGGCATCTTTCCCACCTCCCATTCCACTTCCTACTTCTGATCCTTCCGATCCTCCTAGACCATCCCCGTATTCGCTTTCCGAACCTACATTGCCAAGGCTGGGCGACGTCACCGAACCAGGATTCGTGTTTTTGGAAGACCAGGGGTCATCATCGTCGTCAGACGCGTCAGAAAGAGAGGGATTTGTACCGGTGATGGCCGGTTGAGAGGTCTTGGTTGACTTAGCCGTCCATGCGTCGTCACCAGGCTGGCCGCTGGCATAGGGATCATCGTCTTCACCGATGACAGGAGCAGACGTGGAGGAATTTCGGCTTCTGGAGAAAAAGCAACGGGAAGGGAATGTACCGATTGGAAAGAACGTTATCGAACATTGAGAACCGGCTTTTTAAAACACTGATTTCTGCTCCTATAATCAATTCGCATTGCGACGTTTCAGGAGCGCTGACAACAACTTGCGGATGACACATTTATGTCTAGAGTGGTCGCCCCGAATAAGTCCAACAGCCGAAATTTTGTTTCATAAACTGTCGGTAGAATCCTCAACTAACCAGTTTTTCATCCCTCATTCCAGGCTTCCAGATTCCTGCCCAATGTCGCTACGGACTTACCTGAAAAGGCCGCTATTCCAGATGCCAAAGCCGATCAGCCAAAGGAGCACGAGAGCAACCAGTGGTGAGGAGCAGTAAGGCCGCTTAATTAATCCGCTGCAGAATCCCCCAATGCCTCCTCCTCCACCTCCACCACCACCACCACCTCCCCCTCCCCTTTTAAAAAAACTTCTTTGCCTCGCTTCTTGACGCATCGGAGACGACGCTCCGACGCGTTTCGTGACGTCCATTCCGGTGATTCCCCACATCGTAGCGTAATTCAAAGTCGTGCTTTTGTATTTCGATTACGTTTTCGCAGCAAGTTACATGCTCGCTAATCGGGATCCAAGTACTGTGGAGGCGATTAAGAAGAAATCATTCAAGTATATAGCCATTTCAGATCTAAGATACCTATCACATGGCATGCGTTCTGAGTCAAACCACCTCATTTCTCAGTTCCCGCAGCACAAATGGTCGGAGAAGTAAACTGGCTTCCTGCAAGCAGACGGTGATAAAATGGAAGCATCTAGGCCGGCCCACCCATGGCTTTCACCTACCTGTGACTGATGCGATGACGGGCAATTCGCGTGCAGCGGTAACATGTCGTGCGAACAATCTCTGCGCAAGCTTGTGGCGAGGAGGTGATGCTGCCCCTTGCTGCTCGGTTCGGAATTGTTAGCTTCGTTTCTTTGGTTCGTAGGGTCTTGTTCTCTTGATCACATGTGGTGGACGAAACGTCACAGTTGCCGAACGAAATTTACACCAATCAAAAGTCTTCGACGAGATACTGTAACCTGAACAACAAGCCTGGGGGATACCGACCACGCGAAAGCTTTGGCCGACAGCTTGGCTACCTCTACTGTACATTGTCAAATTCGGACACGACTTTTTCAGGCTGTGTGGATGAAGATGAATCGCAGCCATCAATATTTCCACACGAACCACATGCCAGCCGATCGAAACCGTCGATGCGACTAATTTAGCGGCATCCACCCGCCCAGATGGAAGACACCCTCCAGCATCACCTTCAAAAGACGCCTCTTGAAAGAAGTATCTCTGCACAACCACACACAACAAGCACCTCCCAGCTAGCCAATTCAACTTATTATTCTTGGCTGTCTTCGCGGCAATCGCTTGAAATCAGAGGCATCGCATTGCCTGCAGTGCTAGGTGGAACTTCATAAAAACAGCTGAGTGGTATCCGCGGATACATTTAGCTGTACGCAAGTTCCTGGTCAAACCCGTCATATTAGATATGGGTTCTCCAGGCAGCGATTCTGGCGGGGATCCTCCCACCCCCGATCATTCCACCGTTACCGGAGTCGACGGGGTCCGTCACGTTTCTGTCTCCGTGGCGGCTGACGGATTGCATCGCCGGTCAGCTGACGTAAAGCGCGACGAAACCAAGGAGATTAGGCAGGTCGCACTAAGCGCAGCAGCAGCGACAGACGGTGAATCCGAGCTCCTAGACAGGTCGCGGAGCGAGCGGGAGAGGGAAAGGCAATGGCGACTGGATCACAGTCAATTTGCCGCTGCCAGGCGGGACTTAGGCGATGACGAACGCGGCTCCAGTAGAATGGGAATACTCCGAGGTATCAAATTAGAAATTAACTAGTTTGTTTCCTATCTTGCAAAACTAGCTCCATGAGTTTTCTTCTTGCGTCTTTAAATATCTCTGGATGCGAAGAAAGAAAGAAAGAGGGATAGAAAGAAAATGTTGATGGAAGCCTATTCCCCTACCTCCCACTTCTGTCGCTCTCCGCTCTCCCGCCACGCGGAATTGTGTCAGTGAGCAGCGCGGACGACGCGATAAGCGCGTACTACCAGCGGCAGAACGAGATGATTGACGGCTTCAGCGAGATGGACGCCCTAAGCGAGCACCTGCTGCGACCCTCCGCTGAGGTGAGCGATGTTCTGAGGTGAGAGCTGTGCTGCGGTGAGCGATGTTCTGAGGTGAGAGCTGTGCTTCGGTGAGCGATGTTCTGAGGTGAGAGCTGTGCTGCGGTGAGCGATGTTCTGAGGTGAGAGCTGTGCTGCGGTGAGCGATGTTCTGAGGTGAGAGCTGTGCTGCGGTGAGCGATGTTCTGAGGTGAGAGCTGTGCTGCGGTGAGCGATGTTCTGAGGTGAGAGCTGTGCTGCGGTTAAAGCTCTACCGCAATGAGTGTCCTGTCCACAAGTCTTGACCCACAGAATTGTCTTGTACTGCCTCCTGCTGACGCGAGCTCCTTCTCAACCCTTGTTTCGGCCCCTCAGGAGGCCAGAGCAGCAGCCAAGACAGCACGAGGCGAGCACTGGGCGATTCAGATCTCCAACGTCGCCAATATCGTCCTCTTCATTGTCAAGGTGCGAGATTCTTGGTTTTTGAGGCGCCTCTAAACTACTTCTGAGGCACCTCAAAAGTGCGATTCAGATTTTAACATCGCCAATATTGTCCTCTTCATTGTCAAGGTGCGTGAGCCGCCTTAAAAGCATCACCACCGTCATCTCGTTGATTGTCTAAATGCGTGGTAATTGCACCATGGTTGAGAATCCACTGCAGTGAGCCACGGTAATTGCACCATGGTTGCTGTTCTCAGGCTGCTGCCACTGTTGTTTGGCTCTCCACTTCACCCAATTTTTCTGTATCTGCTGCTAATTGTTCTCCCTTCTCCATGTTCCGTTCGACTCTACCGTATTGCACGCCTCTCTACCACTCCACACCGCTCTGCACCGCGCTGCACGCAGGTGGCGGCGTCCATAGAGTCAGGCAGTCTGTCGATCATAGCGTCGACGCTTGACTCGCTGCTGGACCTGCTGTCGGGCTTCATCCTCTGGTACACCGCCCGCTCCATGCGCCGCCACAACCCCTACAAGTACCCCATCGGCAAGGCGCGCATGCAGCCCCTGGTGCGTACCGCACGGCACCACATGGCACTGCATGGTACTGCACTGCACCGCATTCCACCGTATTGCACCGCACTCCAGCGTGTTGCACTGCACGGCACCGCACTGCTCGGCGCTCCACCGCACTCCACCGCATTGCGCCTCTGAAACCCTCTAGTCTCTACTATTTCCTTGCCTTTGTGCTCCCTCCACCCCCCACACCTCTTCCCTTGACCCCTCAGGGCATCATTGTGTTCGCATCCATCATGGCTACTCTCGGCTTCCGGATTCTGCTGGAGGGCTTTAGGCGACTCAAAATCCCTGTCTTTCCCCTTCCCTTGTCTCCACCCCACCTCCCCCCTCCCATCTCTTCCCCTTCCCATGGCCCCTCAGGGCATCATAGTGTTTGCATCCATCATGGCCACTCTCGGCTTCCAAGTGCTGCTGGAGGGCGTCAGGCGCCTCACTGACTCGGTATGAGTTACACGATCACTGACTCGGTATGAGTTACACGATCACTGACTCGGTATGAGTTACACGATCACTGACTCGGTATGAGTTACACGATCACTGACTCGGTATGAGTTACACGATCACTGACTCAGTATGAGTTACACGATCACTAACTCTTTATTGCCATGCCCCACTCACACCCCATCCTCCTCCTTCCTTGTGTATCCGCCCGCCCCTGTGTGTGTTCCCCCCCAGTCCGCGGTGGGGCTGGGCAGCGAGTGGCAGGTGTATGTGGCGATCATGCTGTTCGTGATTGCAGTAAAATCCGCACTCTACTTCTATTGCCGCATCTTCACAGGAAACGACATCGTCATGACATACGCTCAGGTGAGATGATCGTCTAGCCCATGCCATGCTCTCAGGTGACTTTTGGGGCGCCTCAGGAGCAGTCAAGGCCGCACTCTACGTCTACTGCCGCATCGTCACAGGAAACGACATCGTCATGACATACGCTCAGGTGAAGTTCTCTTGCTGCTAACATGGCGTCCACTCTCAGAAAGTTTATATTTCCGCTGCTCGTCAGACATGTTGCGCGCAACAGCTGAAGCGCCTCTCCCTCCTACATCTGCTTCGAGTTCTGCTTCACTATGTTGAAATCACTCTTGAGAATTCTCGAAAGTGATTTCTGCCCTCTGCGTTCCTTCCCATGCTTCTCTCTGTAACGATTCCACAGTCATGATACCACCATGGCACTTTTATGTCACCACCTGACACTTCCATGACACGCCCGTGCCACCATGCCTGCAGGACCATTTCTTTGACGTGGTGACCAACACAATGGGGCTAGCAGCTTATTTTTAAGACAACTAAAAAATCGCTTACCATGCCACCCACACCACCATTCCACCATCACTCCACCGTGTATGCCTGCAGGACCATTTCTTTGACGTGGTTACCAACACGGTGGGTCTGGCAGCTTTTTCTTGAGACGTCTCAAAACTCGCTTCCATCACAACACCACTGCGCCACCATTCCACCGTGTGTGCCCGCAGGACCATTTCTTAGATGTGGTTACCAACACCGTGGGGCTGGCAGCTGTTTTTGAGGCGCATTGCTTGTGTTTCGACTCAGAGGTCACCTCAAAAGCCGTGACACCACCATTCCACCACAATGCCACCACTCCATTGTTCCCGCAGGACCATTTCTTTGACGTGGTGACCAACACAGTGGGGCTGGCGGCTGCTGTGCTCGCAGGTGCCGTTGCCTGGTGGATCGACCCTGTCGGCGCCATTCTGGTACGCCCTCCATGCATTTTGTTGCAGGTCAATTCTGAGACTTCTCAAAACCGACCTGGCGGCAGCTGTGCTGACAGGGGCCGTTGCCTGGTGCATCGACCCCATCGGCCACACTCCGGTAGGGTCTCCCTGCCGCCCACTGCCATCCACCCATGCCACCCACCCATGCCACCCACCCATGCCATCCATCCACTCTCCACCCATGAAACCCATCCATGCCATCCATCCCCTGTCATCTGTAGCCTCATCATTCTGGGTTCTTAACAACCTCATACGCAGTTGTTACAATTCCATCCATCTCTCCTCTCCCCACCTCCCCACTCCCCTTCCGCATCACCCAACTCCCTTGCATGGCAGGTCGCCCGTCACGCAGTGGACAGCTGGCGCCACCTATCCCCTCCCTTCCTCCCCTCCCACCCCTCTTCTCCCCTCCTTCCACCTCGCCCTCTACACGAGGCCATCCTGCCCATCGACACCCTTCCTTTCCTTCCTTCCATTCCGTCCCTTCCTTCCCTTCCTTCCCTTCCATTCCTCCTCCCGTCCACTTCCCCGATCCCCCCCCCAACCCCACCCGTCCAGCTCGCCCTATACACCATGATCAACTGGGGCCGCACGGTCCTGGAAAACGTCAACTCGCTCACGGGCCGGTCGGCACCGCCCGAGTTTCTGCAGAAGATAACGTACCTGTGCTGGAACCACCACGAGGCCATCCTGGCTATCGACACCGTGCGTGCCTACACCTTCGGCACACTCTACTTCACGGAGGTGGACGTTGTGCTGCCCCGGGACATGCCTCTCGAGGTGAGTGCAGTAAGGTTCTCGGGGTGAGGTGATGCATGCTGCTTGCTTGGGGTGAGCTCGGAGTGATGGGAGAAGCCTACTCCTTCGGCACACTCTACTTCACGGAAGTGGATGTTGTGCTGCCCCGGGACATGCCACTTGAGGTGAGCTCAGGGTGATCAAGTTGAGGTCATGGGTGCGTGGGGTGAGCTGACGGGTGGAGATGAGTTGGGGTTGAGTTGCAGGGGCTAGGGGTGAGGTACTTTTGAGACGTCTCAAAAGTGGAGATGAGTTGGGGTTGAGTTGCAGGGGCTAGGGGTGAGGTACTTTTGAGACGTCTCAAAAGTGGAGATGAGTTGGGGTTGAGTTGCAAGGGGCTAGGGGTGAGGTATTGTGAGTCTGCGGTTAGATTGACTTGCTCTCACCACATCACTTTTTTATCCCAACCTCTCCCTCCCATCTCTCCCTCTTCTCTACCCCTCTCCCTCGCTCTCTCTGTCCTCCCCGTCTGCTCCTATCGGTTTTCACTCCATCTCTCCTATCTTCTCGTATGGCAGGAGACGCATGACATAGGCGAGTCGCTTCAGAACAAGCTGGAGCGATTACCAGAGATTGAGCGAGCGTTTGTGCATTTGGATTACGAGGTGGAGCACAGGCCAGAGCACCACCAGCACTCCTCCTTCCCCACTCCCTGGCCGAACCAACCATAAAAAACCAACCTGATTCTGATGCCCCCCCCCCATCTCACCCTCCAGTCTCAACCTCCTGTCTCTCCCTCCTGTCTCTCCCCTCCTCTCTTGTTATTGTGGCTCCCCCTCCCCCCCCACTCCCTTCACTCGATTGTATTGTTATTGCAGGAGACGCATGACATAGGCGAGTCGCTTCAGAACAAGCTGGAGCGATTACCGGAGATAGAGCGTGCGTTCGTGCATTTGGATTACGAGGTGGAGCACAGGCCGGAGCACCACCAGCACTCCTCCTTCCCCGCTCCACCCGCTGCACCCACCATCACAACCCTCCCTCCTCCGGACACCCCCACTGGATGATATTTGTCGTGGTCGTTTCTGTGCTGATGTGTTTCACAGCATGGTTATTAGCTGTTGGTAAAAATTGCAGAATTGTACTGTGGCGTGGCACACGCAAATGTGCTCGGTGGTATGTTTGACAGTTTTGGCTTGTTTTTTTCCTGGCGCATGTTGCAGTAATGCAATGCTGCTCAGAAGTTTGATAATCTACAACGATTTACTGTTGTATGTGTTGGGAATAATAAGTCTTAAGCGCCTCTGTCGTGTCGAAACTCAGGACACTAGCGAAGCAGTCCGAATCGAAGCATCGCGAGTCAACCCTCGGAGGTTAGGGTAACCGCCTGGAGGTCACGAGAAGGTCAAAGGTCAGCGACCTTTGACTTGACAAATACAGTGCGACAGCAAGGACACACAACTGACTCGACATTGAGCAGTTGCCCGAGTCGCACTGTATCGAATCGCAACAGTAAAACGGTTTTAACTTATCTATTCGTATTTCTTGTACTCTTATATAAACCTTTGTATTTGCTTGTTTAATTAACTTACTCTGCCCTCACATACTAGCGCAAGGTGGTTCAAGTATTTTCATTCAAACGCTTCCGCTACTACAATTCTACTCAGACTTAAAACTCTACAAAGATCCTAGGGCACTTCAGCCCAACATGGTATGAGAGCAGTTAGAGTTTTAAAGATTGTTTTCCTTTTAACACTCAATACAAGAAGACATGTCTGCAAGGAAGGAGAGGAGCTCCTCCAACGGCTCTCCAGACACTACTCCTACTCCACCTCCTGTCTCTGGTCTACAGACAGAGGAAGGGACTACCACGAGACCAGCAGCTGGGTCTACGGAAACGCCCGCAGGCTTCGATCCAAGCATGATGGAAAAGTTCTTCTCCTTCATGTCCTTCTACGAGCAGCACCAGCAAGGAGCACCTGCGCAATCAAACAACAGCAACAACAACAACAACGTGACGCCTATGAGTCTCGATGGCTCATCCTACGCACGCGGGATTCAACAACAACAACAACAGCCTACCTTTGCGCCATACGAGCCCCAGCGTGGCTCCGTCAGCTTCACGCCGCAACCGCAACCTGCACCAGGACAAGAAAGGGCATTGGATGCGTTACAAGTTCAATCGCAATTCGCGCATGTCTTAAAACTACAAACGACAAAGCCTTTCGACGGCAAAGATTTCTTCACCTGGTCGTTCGAGTTCGAACTGATGATGGAAGGAGCACAGATTCTCGGCTTGTTCGACGGGTCCCTGCCATATCCAACAAACGGGACGCAATATGAGAAGCAGCAATATACTTATCAATCGACGATGGCGTACACGATACTGCTGAGGAACATCACCCCGACCCAGCAGCAGAACATCAGGACTTACCGAGGCTACGGCAACTCCGCGGAGCTCGCGTACAACCACTTGAAGAACCTGTATCAAGCAACAGACAGCGTAAATCAAAGCAGGTTAATGGCGCAGCTGACAACGATTGAAATGAAACCAGGCGAGAAAGGCATGGCTTATATCAGCCGCTGTCGCGAACTGCGCGACAAGCTTCTTCGATGCGGCGGGTCGATTTCAGAAGACGCCTTTGTCACGGTGGTCATCGGCGGTCTCGGCCCCCACTGGCGCTCCACTCGCGCCATATTACGAGCACACGGGAGGATTTCCGAAGCGGCACTCTGCGCCGAAATTCATGCTGAGCAGCAAGACATGGACCTGCAAGAAGAAAGACACAAGAAGAAAGCATTAGCACCAGAGTTTGTGTTTCACACTCAGCGACGATACAACGGCAACAACAACCGTCAACAACAAGTAAAGACAGTACCTCCGTTCTGCCACATCTGCAAGACTTCGGGCCATCCTCGCACGCACTGCCCGTCTCGTCAGACAACACCACAGCGACAACTCCGGCCTTCAAGCTCCCAAGTTGCTTCAACGCAAGCAAGTCCGACGACCACAATCCAAGCTTCAACGACTTCAACTGGACAACCTGCACAAGGAACAAGAAGCATCGTCAATTGCATGGTGAAGATCACCGATTCGTGCACAACCAAGTCACCACCCCACTACTCACCGGAAGAAGAGATCGACAACAGGACGCCTCGCCGCGAATCACTCCAGCCGAATCCGACGTACGCCGCCATCGCTCAAAGCGAACCATCCGGCCAAGACACTTGGTTCTTGGATAGTTGCTGCGGACAACACATGTGCTCCTCCGGGCGCTTCGTTCAACGCGAACATCGACTCCAGCGAGAAGTAGTCATCACGGTCGCCAACAATCAGAACCTGCGCACACGACGACAAGGAGCGGTACAGCTTCAGTCACGAGAAACAAATGTCATATTACACATGTCAAAGGTACTTATCGCGGAGGGACTAGGCTACAACTTACTGAGTGTCAGCCGGTTGATGGCGAAAGGCATCCACTTGGAAGCCGACAGCACCACCCAGGAGTTTAAGTTATACCACGGGAAGGGCGGCCTCTACATCGGAAAAGCAGTGTTGAAGAATAACGTCTTCGTCCTCGATTTCGTCCCCGACCTGGGCACTGCAGACAGCGACGCCATCGTCAACTTCACCAACTGGACTCATCCTCCGGATCTCGATCCCGACTTCAGCCCAGGAGGTTTCTGGTACTCGCACACCATCCCTGAAGCAGAACGAACACGAGCATTAGCAACGATTCAACAAACGACAGCAGCAGAGACAACATCGACAGCAGCAGAGACAACATCGACAGCAGTAGAAACAACATTGGCAGCAGCAGAGACAACATCGGCAGCAGCAGAACCATCATCGGAAGCAGCAGGACCAACGACACCAGTCATCGAAACACCACCAACACCCGCACAACAGCTGAACCCGACTCAACGAGAAGTCCACCGAAGCGCAAACATCGTCGCCAACTTCTACTCCAACTCTGACGCGTATCAACGCTCACCCGGACATCGCGCTCCTGAAGACATCTGGCACGCACGCACAGGACATCCAAGCAATACGGTGTTAAACAACACGATACGAGCAGGAGTTCTAGACAAGGATTCGCTACTACTACTCGACGGCAGAGAACTTCAACGTGCACAAGGGACTTGCCTGATCTGCCCCGAAGCCGACTTACCCCATCGACCGTTTTCCTCTCACCACAACCCGAGCGCACCTGCGTACGCACCACTCGAGAAAGTTTACAGCGACATCCTCTACAATCGAGAACCAGGACAAGTCACCTACAATTACACGATCACCTTCATCGACGCCGCCACTCGATACGTCTGGCATCGCAACCTACCCAGCCACGACATGGCACTCGCAGCATTCGCCGCTTGGCTACCGGTAGCAGAGAGGGAATCAGGATCACAACTGAAAAGCTTCCAGTCAGACGGAGGAGGAGAGTACACCTCTCAGCGCTTCAAGCAGTACCTGGCGGAAAGAGGGATCAAGCAACTCCTCTCCCTTCCCTACGCACATCAGCAGCAAGGTGTAGCAATAAGAAGGAACAGGACTCTGCAGAACAGCATGCGCAAACTGCTACGTGGCATGCGGCTACCCAACCACCAGTGGCCTGCAGCAATGGACCATGCTGTCATGCTGCACAACTTGTTGTCGTCGTCGTCACTCCCGAACAACGCCTCACCGCATCTGCTGTGGACAGGGAAGCTGGGCAGCACAAGAATGTTACGAGTTTTCGGATGCATGGTACAGTACAGACCCCCAGAAGCACGAGCGGGAAGATTTTCACAATGGGCACAGTGGGGACTACACCTCGGTATCGAGAAACATTACAACGCGTGGAAAATCTTCGACGTCCACACAAAGGAAACAGTAGCAGCACGTGATGTGATCTTCTATGAGCGACTCACCCTTCAGACGTAGCTCGCCAACTTGCACGAGAATCGGGACATCACAGGTGGCTTTCGTGGTGACCGAGCCTTCGTCTCAGCAGCGGACGAAGCAGACTAGGATGAACAGAACGTCGACAACGCATCAGAAGAAGCCGGACCTCTCCCGTACTGCTCCGTCGACGTGCCCATGGACGAAGAAAATCCTCGCGACAGTAACAACGCCGAAGTCTTCTATCACTTCGCCGACAACGGTTACGTAACACCTGTGACAGTCAACACAAATGAAGCAGAAAGGATAGGGCCAAATTTCATACCCGATCCAGAAGCAGGAGACGAAGCAGCTTATCCCGAGGATACAACACTCCCCCGATACTCACAGACTGGGCTGCAAATCCTTGGTCTCGTCACCGTAGTCCACGGGAACACAGGCAGCACGCTTCCTAAAGAGCCTGCGACGGTTCAGCAGGCTCTGGGGGGGGAACACAGGGAGAAATGGCGTGAAGCCATGGACAGGGAATTAAAAGCATTAGAGGAACGCAACACCTGGAAGGTCGTTCCCGCAAGCGTGGCACGGAACAAGACCATTCTCACCGGGAAATGGGTCTTCCGCATCAAGACGAAAGCTGACGGCACAATCGATAAGTTCAAAGCACGCTGGGTCGTGCGTGGATTCGACCAGGAGCAAGGACGAGACTTCACCGAAACATTCGCCCCAGTCAGTCGACATACCTCTCTCCGAATCCTTCTCGCCGTCGCCGCCATGAAGAAGAAGAAGCTGCGACAAATCGATGTTGCCAACGCATTCCTCTACGCACCCGTCGACGCCGAAATCTTCGTCGAACTCCCACACGGCACTCACGGAAATCCTAATCAGATCTGCCAACTACTGAAATCGCTCTACGGAATCAAACAAGCCCCGCGACTGTGGCAACAGCACCTACACACCCGCCTCACTCGCATCGGATTCCGCCAACTGCCTCACGACCAAGGAATGTACCGCCTCACCAAAGGCGCAGACTACATTCTACTGATCATCTATGTCGACGACTTGCTCTACATCGGCTCCACCGACGACGTCACCACCTGGTTCGAAGGGGAGCTGCAGAAAGACCTCACGCTCACGGTCTCTTCTACCGTGACCCAGTACCTCGGGCTCAACATCCGCGAAGAAGAAAATGCGATCTACCTAAGCGCCGAGAAATACGCCGACACCATCGCCAAACGTTTTTCACTCACACCTACCGCCATCGCCACACCATACCGCTACACGGCAGGAAACGACAAGGGAAATTCCGCTCCACTCAAAGCTGCCGGAATACGAGACTACCAAAGGAAACTCGGCTGCCTTCTCTTCGCAGCTGTCACCTGTCGCCCGGATCTATCCTACTCCGCAAGCCAACTCGCCACCTATCTCAAGAAATCCGAAGCAAAGCATCTGGCGGAGCTCGATCGCGCACTACACTACTTCGTGAGCACAATGACGATCGGCCTGACTTACTACAAAGGCGAAGCTACGACGACGAAACTAATCGGCTACGTCGATGCTGACCATGCCGGCGACTCTGATAACAGGCGCTCTCGCACTGGCTACGTCTATCGTCTCGAGCCTATCGGACCTATCTCCTGGCAGTCGAGTAAGCAGGAACTAATCGCTCTCTCTTCAGCTGAAGCAGAATATATCGCCCTCTGTTCAGCCACCAAGGAAGGACTCTACCTTCGCGAGCTGCTGGAAGAAGCAAAGTTAGCCGAGTTACCCAACTTCACCCTATTCTGCGACAATCAATTTGCAATTCGCATCGCCAACAAAAGCGGATTCGCGAACAGAACGAAGCATATCGCTCTACGATACTTCTTCGTGAAGGACGAGATCGAGAAAGGGAAACTCGAATTATCCTACTGTCCCACGTCCGAGATGGCAGCCGATTATTTGACCAAGAAACTCGGAAAACAGAAGTTCGAGTACTGCATGATGCTGACCGGACAAGGCCACGTCACCATCAGCGACACTCCAGAAGCGAAGGGGAGTGTTGGGAATAATAAGTCTTAAGCGCCTCTGTCGTGTCGAAACTCAGGACACTAGCGAAGCAGTCCGAATCGAAGCATCGCGAGTCAACCCTCGGAGGTTAGGGTAACCGCCTGGAGGTTACGAGAAGGTCAAAGGTCAGCGACCTTTGACTTGACAAATACAGTGCGACAGCAAGGACACACAACTGACTCGACATTGAGCAGTTGCCCGAGTCGCACTGTATCGAATCGCAACAGTAAAACGGTTTTAACTTATCTATTCGTATTTCTTGTACTCTTATATAAACCTTTGTATTTGCTTGTTTAATTAACTTACTTTGCCCTCACATACTAGCGCAAGGTGGTTCAAGTATTTTCATTCAAACGCTTCCGCTACTACAATTCTACTCAGACTTAAAACTCTACAAAGATCCTAGGGCACTTCAGCCCAACAGTATGCAGTTTCTTGTGCACATATGGCATGCTCCACTCCTGTTCCTTCCAGTAATTTGGATAAATGTGTTGCCCTCTTTTTTTAACTACTCCAGCAAAACATAAGATCAAAGGTACACAGCTATGACGAGCAGTGTTCCTCTTCCAGAAGCCGAATCTTTCCGTTGGCGACGCTGGCTGGCAGTGACTTCATTCCCAATGCCGTTTCGCCTGACGTCCCGCCGTAGCAGCAGCTTCCCTCCAACCAAACCAAACCCGAATTCGGTAGCAGTCAGTTGGTCGGACAGTCAAACTTGGTTGTGGTGGATTCAAGGGAGCACGGCAGCGGTACCAGATACCTTCATTATGTTAGGTTGGATTGCCCAGGCTGTTTTATGAGATTTTCAATCCTTCAGCCCTGAGACGCAGTGCGAAGACGCCGTGAGTCAAAGTGTGTGAGCATCCCGTCCACCCTCAACGGTCTTGAACTTGAATCGCGTGGCATGATTATTCAACGGTGCAGCTGCTAGGTAGATGACGAGAGGACATGACGTAACATCACGTTCCTTTTCACCAACAACGATCCATAGAGCTCATTTACTATTTCTGCTCAACACTAGTTTAGCCTGTTAGAACTGAGCCAATCTGATAGAATTTCGCCGACCCACCGCTAAACTTTTCCCAGTGACGATCCGACATGGCGACACGAAATCGTACAGCAGTTTTTATAAAACATCGAGATTCTCTCAAATCAACTAGACCAAACGCCGGAGTCGCTCGCGATCTTGATCAGGTGGAAAAGGGATGGGGGACAGGAAGAAAAGGAGGAGGCTATGTACAACTAACTCGGCTAGACACTGGAGAGAGGTATGCTCATGTGTGTGTACTTGATACAACGTAATCCTTATTGTTGATTGAATACGGAAGATGCTGTCGGTCGTTCTGCCATGCGTTGCTTTAGTACAATTCCTGTTGGTATATTTTTGTTGGCAAGCTTTCAGCAGCTTCTTTTCATTTTCTTTTTCCCCCACGCTCTGGTTCAGGCTTTCAGCAGGGACGTCAGGAGCAGCAACCTCGCAACCAGCTGCTTCCGGTGGTCTAGGAAGCCCAGGCCTACCGCCGGTGTGGGTAGACGTGTCGGACAAGATAAAGGACGATATGCAAAAGATTAGAGGCAAGATGGGTGAGCTAGCAAAGGTCCAGGCTCGCGCGTTGTTACCGTCGTTTGATACGGACGATGCGCGGGGAAAGAAGAACGAGCATGAGAGAACCATGGAGGTACTCACGGCGGAAATCACGCGGTCCTTGAAGACGTGCGAGCAGCGGCTGCAGCAGCTTTCGCGGAAAGAAGCGACGTCAGCGGGGAATGCTGCCATTGCGCGCAACGTTCAGGTGAGCTTTGAATGTCTAACATGAGACTGAAAGATGCAGATTTGAATCCGGTTACTCAAGAAAGCTCAGAGAGATGAACCGATGAAACGCATCTGTTCGCGGGTGCTCACTGAGGCTGTCTGTTTGTCCCCTTCCGTCTTTTCCACCTTAACCCTTTCCCGCACCCACTTCGTCCTTCTCTCACCATCCCATCAATCCTCCACTTTCTGTTATCAGAGATGCATGGCCACGGATTTGCAACAACTTTCCATGGATTTCCGCAAACAGACAAAGCAGTATCTACGGCGGTTGCAGCAGCAACAGCAGCCTCAAGAAAAGGTGTGTATTCGTGTGCAGCTGACACTGGTTGGCTGTGAGCATGTGCACTTGCTGAATGTTTGAAGCGAATGTGGGCATATAAGGTCGCTACAGAGACACCGAAAGAGGGCTCTGAACTTGCAAATGTCATAATAACACCAGGATACGAGGGCCTCCTCTCAGATTACTTCCTTCTATGATTGTTCTCCGTCCGCTTATATCTGGCCACGTGCTTTTGGTTTCCCACCTACTCCTATGTTTACTGTCTGTGACATTGCAATCTGTGCGTGTCAGGCTGTGCTCGGCCGTGCTGCCGCTGGGGTGGGTCGTCAGGCAGGCTGCACGAAGCATCATCCAGTGCAGCGCAATCTGATGAGGATGAATCTGAGACGTCTCAAAACACTCACTCCCATGTGTACTTGCCTGTGAAATTGTTGCAACTGTGCGTGTCAGGCTGTACTGGGCCGTTCTGCCGCTGGTGGGTCATCAGGCAGGCTACACGATGCATCATCCAGTGCAGCTCAAGCTGATGAGGATGACTACTTTGACCCAGTAAGCCCTTCTCGTTTCTCGTCCCTAGTTCTTCCTTCCCCACCACCACCATTTGTCCCTTCTCGCTGTCCTTTCTATGTCTCTTTCTCTGTCACTCTGTTGCCGAGTCGTACTCGCCTGCTCATCTGTCCCTTCTGTTTCTTCTCCCATTTCACAATATACGGTGTCCTCCCCCACTTAACTGCCCTTCCCCTCCCTCCTTCCACCCCCCCTTCTCCACCATGACCATTCAACATGTAACCCTGCACCAGTGAACCCTTTCCCCCCTCCCCCCTCCCCAGAATCCCCCCTCGTCCCCCTCTGGCTTTTCTGTTCCTCCGCCCCCGCCTCATTTCACCAGCTCGTTAGCTGTTGTTAGAAACCTTAATCAGCATCATCCAATTAACATCATCCAGTCAGCATCATTCCATCAGCATCAGCGTCATTGGATCGGCATCATCCAATAGCATGGTCAGGATCAATTTATCAGCATTATATAATTAGCATTATGAGCGACATCACCCAATGAGCCCTAGCTTTTTCACTCCTTCGTTCCCACCTCACTTCGCCAGCTCGTTAGCTGTTGTTAAATACCCTTATCAGCACCTTCTAATCTATATCATTCAATCAGCAACACTCCATCAGCATCAGCGTCATTGGATCGGCATCATTCAATAGCATTGTCAGGATCAATCCATCAGCATTATATAATTAGCGTTATGAGGGACATCACCCAATGAGCCCTAGCTTTTTCACTCCTTCGTTCCCACCTCACTTCACCAGCTCGTTAGCAGTTGTTAAATACCCTTATCAGCACCTTCTAATCTAAATCATTCGATCAGCAACACTCCATCAGCATCAACGTCATTGGATCGGCACCATCTTATAGCGTTGTCAGGATTATTTCATCCGCATTATCCCGTCAGTGTTATGAGCATCATCCAATGTGCACAATCAGCATCAATGAATGAGCATGCATGAGCACTATCCAGTAAACATTCTAAGCGCCATACAAATCCGCATTATGAGCACCATTCAGTCAGCATTGTCAGCATCTCACATGTAGCGGTATTAGCAGCATTAGAGCACCACAATCAACACTATATCAGCATCACCCGAGTAGCATTGGGTATCATCCCATCACCATTATGAGCATCAGCCACTCATGAACATCATCACCATCATCACCAGCATTGCATGATTCGCATTATCAGCATCATCTGATAGCACTGATCGTTTGCACGGTTGTCTTGCAGGAGTTTGAGGAGCGGCAGCTGCTGCGAGTGAGGCAGATGGAGAATGTGACAGCAGAGAGGGAGAAAGAGATCCAAGAGGTGAGCTGCCTTTTGGAGAATATGTCTGGTTACCTGATGAAGAACGGAAATGTGTCAAAAATGGGTCAGTACACTTAATTACTAGGACCTTGAGCTCATGCGCCTGTGCATTCCTCATGGTAGCCTTGAGCTAATGCTTGAACAGCCGTTGCTCGGCGGCTTCTCGCTCATGTGCTTTTTCTCTCTCAACTATCTCCGTGTGCTCCCTCCCTTGATTCCGTTCCTGTCTAATTTCCACGGTGGAGCAGATTGTGCAGTCAGTGCATGACCTCGCCCAGATCATGAAGGACATCTCAGTCCTCGTCATCGATCAGGTGTGAACAAACGAAACAATGCTTGCTGTTCTCACTTGTGTGCTGTGCTCCCATGTTATTGTGTCGCTTTTCTCCTTAGTGATCTGGACATGGCATGTATGTTCTTCGTTTCTGTTGGTGTTTACGCCTGCGTTGCTGGTTGCGTGGGCTGTGGTGCTCTTTTGTGCTGGTGTGCAGGGAACCATTGTTGACCGGATTGACTACAACATTCAGAATATCAGTGCAAACGTTGATAAGGGGGTTGAGGAGCTGAAAAAGGTAAGTTGTGTTACCAATGCAAACATTCTTAGCAACTTTTTTTATTGTAACTGTTTCTTCCTAACAATGCATTGTTTATCTCGGTGCATTGCCATATTCTTCTCTGTTTTTTCTTCCAGGCTGAGAAGACACAAAAGCAATCAGCTCTTATCTTCTGCATACTCGTCCTCGTGGTGGCGGTCTTGGCTCTCTTTGTCATTCTCATCCTCAAGAAGCTCATATTTTAATGACACCTGCTGGTATGGTGTACCTTAGCTTGGTTTGCCATTTGTCCGTTAACAAAAGCGGAGAAATATGGAATGGATGGGTTTTGGTAGCTGTGCCATACTCCCTTCTGAACAGAAGAATCCCAGCGGAGTGAAGAAAAACAAGGCTAGAGCAATGCAGTGAATGTTTAAACATGTGGGGATTTCTCATGGCCTCTCCGTCAGACTCTTTGTCTGACATGCAGCGCATGTGTGTCTGCAATGGATCATCTGAACCTGGGAGGTCTCTTGAGCCAAGCTAGCTAAAGGTCCCAAAGCATCATTCTACACTTCAAGCACTCGTTATCTCCAAACTAAAGTTTAGACGCTGGACAGGAAATCGAATACCATTGTGAATGTTCATGAGGCTACACATGCCGAGGACACAAAACGGTTGCATTTTCGAGTCGCTGATTTCCCCCCACTGAACTCGAATTTGTGCTGGGAAATGGACTGGCGATTGTGGGGGGGAAGTCGGAACGCATACGCGAGTTTCCAAAAACTGTCAACTCCTTCCTGCCTGCTCAACTCTCTGTCTTCCCTCCCATCCATCATACCTACACCTTCCTCCATCAGAACAGCCCAAAATCGTTGACTGACGAGACCAGAACAGTTCAGCCCAGGCAGCACGCTCCCGCTGTTCCCTCCGTCGCGAGGCGCCTCCAACGCCCTCGTGTTGACGCAGTATGAAGAGAGGGTATGCGCAATCTTGTCTTTCGGATTAGTAACGGATGTATGGACATGGAGAAGGACGTGTCTGTCGATTATGATAGCGCGCGTGAGGGAACAGCCTTTGTCCTCCGCGTCGATCCAGGCTTCTAAGCTGTTTCTCAGCTCTACACAACTGACAGTTTATTATCTTCTCACTCGTGGTAGAAAATGCATGTGCCTTCTCAAGCCGCTCGCATTTAGTTTTCTCATTTATTTCGCACCACGAAACTGCTTGAATGCACTGAGGTTAGCTTGCGCGCGTGTCGTGGCTGAGAATTAAGGCCACTTTATGTGGCAGATTCGTTTGTCCTCATCACGTGGCTAATGGCCATCAAGCCACGACACGTCCTACAGTATAGAACCGCCACGATGCGTCCACAAAAGTACATAGATCTAAGGATGGTAGTAGCAACTGTCTGCTTAATGGACCGAGCTGGAGGAGACATGGTGCTTCGGCCGAAAGGGACAGGATCTGGCGAGTCGCATCTGCACCACCAATGATGTCAACCGTACATAGCTAGCTAGTTTGTCAAACAATGCGTCAACCTGCGGCTCGTTATGGAACGGTACTGCACGGTACGTACTTCGCAAGGTAAAGCAGAAATGGTGGGAGGAAAAACACCCACGTGTGAAAGAAAAAACCGCTTTCTTATCCACTTTGATCGCGTGCGATTCCAGTCACACATTGCCATGATCGTGTCCGTAGCGATCCTTCCGGCCGAAGTGCTGCCTTGCCACGTCATTAGCCCCTCTTCTATCGTCATCAATCATACAAACTGAAGCACTATTGAGTGACGTAACAAGTTGATTCAGGCACATGTGTCCGTTTGTAGTGGACACTTAAGCGCACATGCTGCCTCGCCACCTCAGCAGCACCTTGCCGCGGCGTCATCCTGACGTGGTACATATGTCAGCAGCGGATCCGATCTAGATTCTTCCGGCGTCCCCACGCTACAACCTGCCGTCGCAAGGTTTCGGCTCGGTTTCGCTCCACAGTTATAGAGAGTCCCGCGCGTTTGAGATCATCTAGACAGCCGTTCCGTCTGCTTGATGACATCTAGATGACACGCTTCGACCACTCAGGAATGGCTGGTTCACACCTCCAACCACTCTCTACTCCTCTTCCACCCCGCCTCCCTAATCCCCCACTCGTATGTTCTGCTCCTCTCAAGGCGTTTTTCCGTAAAAGCCTCGCCTGCGAGGCGCTGACTGGGAAAGGGGGTGCCTACAGTACTACTGTACTAGAAGGGATGGGGCAATCACAATTTGCATCCCGCCTTCTGCTCACCCCCCACTCCACTATGAATCCATGTTCCCCGTTTCTGTCCCTTAGCGGAAATCTCCCCACATGTCCCCTTTCCGGCGCTCCCGCTTCGCCCTCCCCTGGTGCCCTTGTCCGCCTACGAGCCCCAACCTCCGCCGCATCTTTCCAGCTCCCCTCCCGCCTCCGCCCCTAGCTCTCTCCCCCTCTTCCCCCCCCCCCGCCCCCCAACTCCCCCTTCGACCCAACCACTTGAGGCGCGCGCGCTGTAATAGACGAGAGGCGGCGGCGATCTTGCCGTGATTCCGCCTGTTGCTTCCAGAAGCCTCGCCCATCAACTTGAAGGCACAGAGCAGCAGGGCCCCTGTCTGTCCCGAGGACGGGACATGGCACAGGCTAGTCGTCCGCATGATGTGGCCTCTGGCTGAGTATATAAAGGGCCCGAATTTCTTGAATTAGCGTCATTTTCTTCTGCTTTCCTGTTCGACCTGCTGCCTCGCCCGTGTCAGCTCATGCAACCCGTTCCTTGGATCTGAGCTCTTTCTTCCGTCACCTGCTTTCCTTGCGCGTTCCACCCGAATCCCATTAGCACTAATAGACGTCTAATCTGAGTAGTGGTTACAGATTCAACTCAGCTTCGCTCGTGTACCCACAGTGCCTGCCAGCGAATTGCGTGCAATCATGGCGGTAGCTGGATTCTCAAGCTGCCACGTGGAAACACGCTGCCTCCTAGGCGCGAAACGCGGGCGGGTTTCGCCCCACGAGCAAATCTACGGTCGCCAGCAGGCCCACGCGGTTTTTCCGAACCTGAGCATTGGCCAGCACTGCCAGCCACAGCTGCTGCTGCAGCAGCAGCAGCAGCAGCAGCAGCCAGGCGATCAGCAGCAGAGCCAGAAAAGTGCTGAGCAGCAGCAGCGGCAGCAGCAGCAATCCCAGCAGCCACAACAGCAACACCAGAAAAAGCAGCAGCACTTGGACGTGCACGCTGTGCACCTGACAAGAAGTCACGGGCATGAACACCATTTGCTCGCCCAGGAGGATCCTCACGACCGCCAGAGCATGCCTGCTGAGCGCCAGCAGAAGCGGCCAGGCAGCCTCCTGTGGCATCACGGCACAGCAGCAAAGAAACAGTGCCGCAAGTGGAACGGAGAGCAGCAGGAAGAACGACCTGCCCTTGCCAGGAATCTGCAGAATCCGTCCACACTGGGAGATGCAGACCTTGATTGTAATGGCGGACTTAAAGCCTCAGCTGTTGGTCACATCATGCAGCATGCTGCCATCTTTCCTGGCTGCGTCGGCCCTGTGGCGCACACACGCGAGACCCCCACGAGGAACAGTGGTAACTTGTGGATTTCTGCAAATCGGTGGGCAGGGGCTCGTCGTGATGTTGTGTCTGGTGGTGGTGATTCGGTTGGCAGTGGCTGCGCCGTCTTCTCAACCGTCTCACCGGCTGTCTCGCCTGCTGTTTCGCCTTCCGTTTCACCTGCCGCCTCACCTGCTGTCGCACCTGCCATCTTGCCAGCCGTCCCACCTGCTGTCTCGCCTGCTGCCTCACCTGCCGTCTTCCCTGCCCTTGTCGCTGCTGTGGTCCCTACCCTCTTCCCAATCTCATTCACTCACCCTGCACAAACCTACCATGGTCCGTCCTTTGCCAGCCTCCTAAATTCCATCTCGCCGGCCCGGCAACTCCACCGCCGGGTTGTCTCCGCCCCAGCCGCATCTGCTATCTTTGGCCCAAGCAACAGGCGCAACAACAGGAACGGCACTCCATGTACTACAGCAGGCAAGGAACAACCAGAATCTAAAGCCCCGGAGCACGTGCAGGAGTGTCGGACTGGTGCTGAAGGTGCCGGTTGCTCCTTCTCTCGATCCACAGAGACCTGTCTGTTTGCGCCACCACCAGCCTTTCCTGGTGCACAAGAGGGGTCTGTTGCAGAAAGAGTGGCTCGCTCCATGTCAGGGAAATGCTTTGCACCGCAAGGCTTCCTCCCGTTGCGAGAAAACCTGCCAGGACATGACAGACCTGAGACTTGTCAGTGTGCTTATGATGACGAGGAACTGCAAGATACTGCGTCCTCGTGAAGGCATCATGCCCTACAATCTTGCACTTAGGTTTAGGGATGCATTTGCCAGTTTTTTCTGTTCTGGTTGTGCATGATGATTTGTGCAATGGAGAACCGTATGCATGCAGATTCATACTGCAATGTCTGCTTGAGTACAAATCACTAATTAAAGCCCCTGTGCTTCTACTTTCCTACAAACGATGAGCCGACAAGTGATGGCATTCGCCCAGGTATTACTAATTTGACACCCGATGGGTAGGAACGGGGAATGGGAGCATTGTTAAAGGGCAATATAGACAAACCTTTGAAATAAGCAATTGAAAATGCTTGAACATTAGATTAGGGTAAAGAGTAAAAAAACCGGCAGCATTCATGATTACGCCAGCGTCATTTCAGTTTCTCTTGCCTGCTCTTCCTTCTAGAGATGTCTCACCTATCCCAATGCCTAGGGCATTTTTAGAAGCATGTTTTGTGTTCACATTTCAGTAATCACTTGTTTATAGAGAAACCGTTTTTGGTGGTTGTTGAGAGTTTATAGACCTATCTTAACTAAAGATATACGATGAATCGAAGACTTCACTAGTGACATCGGCACTCTGCATTGACAATTATACTGGGCGGGAAGTTCGCGCCGCCACTAAGCCCCACACCCGTTCCCAATGCTCGTTGCGGAAAAACCAGGCTGCTCCTTTCCCCCCATTTCTCTCCGCGGACTGGCGATTCGTCTCCCCCTGCCTTCTCCTCCAACGCGTCCTTCTTCCTAGCAGCACCTTTCAGTTCTCTATCTAATCTCCAACCAACCGCTTTGCTTCCACCTTCTGCACCTCACATTCTCGTCTCGGCCGAACTCTGGCTGGGCTTGTTTCTGTCTCACCTTTGTCTCGCCTAGATTTGGTGTCGCACCATCTCGTCGCATCTCATCGTCGCTACAGTTTTGGCACTCTCCT